GGCCTTCTTAACAACCTTTGCACGGCTCGATCGGCGGCGTGCCAGAACTCTTGACCTCTTAACAACAGCCGGGCCGGCTCACTCGCACCTACGTATTGCGCAGCATGTCGCGATGACAACAAGGTCGGCTCCTGGACCTCAATGTAATAAATGCAATGAAAAAATCTTGTAAAAGCTGCAAACATTGCGGGTAGATACCTGTTTTTTCCAGTTCTTCTCGATTGGCTTGGAATCCAATGACCGAGCGGCAACAGCCACAGCGGCGGAGTCAACGAACCGCTGCTGCTAAAGCAAACTCAGATTCTGAAGCGCAGAATCTGCAGCAGATCAAGATGCTGAAGCTGTAGTCGCTGTTGTGGCTGCTTAAGAGAGAAGTTGTGACTTTCACAGCACCTCTTGGCGGATTCTTTGAAGTTCTTTGTGAATTGAGAATTCAACAAAAAGGCAAGTGCCGGACACAAAGCGGAGCCAAAAACGGCCGTTTTTGGAGCTCTCCAATATGGCGCAATTCCCGCAGGTTCAGAAAACGGATTAGTTTTAGGGCCGCATTTGTTCGCGGGAAATCACTTTTCGAGCTTGTTATCGGAATCGCAAAAACCTGGACGCGGATCATTGGTCAGGAAGATGCAGGTGGACAACTCCAAAATGTGACATTTGTCACTGCTTGTCTTAAACACATCTTGGATTCAAAAAATCAAGTTGCGGCGTGTGTTCTTGCCAGTGCAGGATTCGCTGCAGGATGCTGCAGCAACTCTGGAGGTTTCACAACAGCTACCACAATCCTGACAATTTCCAGACTCGAAAGTGGGCTTGTTGGAAGCACTACAGAATCTCAACCTCGCCGCCTTCAGAAACTTCGATTATGGCTTGGTCTGCTCCGAACGCAGTTATGACTACACGGAGGCATGCATCCAATGTGAAACCATTCTTGTTTTGCCGTGTGTGCTCTCCAAAACACACATCCGGAAGAACTTGTTCACCCTTTGGACACAAGTGGAAGTTTAATACTGATTGGCTGGATGATGAAGTGTGGAGTGCTGTCGACGGTGCAGCATTAACTTTTGAAAATGCTCAAAGGGTGAATCTGTACCGCGGTGGCGGCCGCTGCGACAGCAGCTGCAGCAGGCGCCTCATAGGGGTTTCCGATGGTTTCCGGTCTGGTGGGTTTCCCATGGGTTCCCGTTTCCTCCAGGGTTTCCGAGCGTTTTCCACACCTTTGTTGTGGTCTGCTTTGGTTTCCCACGAATTCTAGATGGATATGCTCCTCAAAAGTGAGTCTGTTCCTTTTCCGATAGTTTCCTATGGATTTCCCACACGTTTCTTGTGATTTCCCAGCGTTTTCCACATGTTTGTTATGGTCTGCTATGGTTTCCCATGAATTCTAGATAAACATGCTGTCTGTTCCTGGTCTGGTTTCCGATGGTTTCCTGGGGTTTCCTATGGGTTTCCCACAGATTTCCTGCGACACCGGATCTTGTAACTGAGGTTTCACGTGCAAACTTCTGTCGGACGGTGGATATTACTTCAGTCATCGTTATGCCAAAGTACAAATTGGAGTATGCCAAGAACAAGAAAACGGACATGGTGCAGCGGTTGGACTTGGACTTGGCACTTTGTTCTTTGTATGAAGATGCTGAAGCTGCTTTTTCGCACTGCTTTGTGAAAAATCCAAGGCAGTGGCCTTTTTCCATGCATAAAAAATTGTTCTACAAGTACACTGTGATGTATGTGCTTAGTACGGGCCGTGTTGTGGATGAACATCCACATTTTGTGCACAGTAGCTGCAGCGAGCAGACTTTCTTTTACAAATCCGTGTTAGACGGCTTGAATCTCCACCCCATTGCAAGAGACCCCAAGACTCTCAAAGCCAGGCGTCCACAGCGGAACAGGCGACCGAGGAGTTTCGCAAAAAAATGCGCATTCCTTCGCCTACCAGACTCTCGCTTCGCGGCCAAAAGATGTTCCACCTGTGCCTGCTTTAAGAGCAGATCTGTCCGAAAGTGTCTGTTCGGAGCCGATTGTTTTGTGTGTTGAATGATTTTGGACATGTGCTTTGACGGATAGGAGAAAGTGCGGAATTTGATACCCTAGTTTACGGCTGCGGGATGATTTGGAACGCTGTGACGCTGTGTTATTGCGCTGGGTCAATGTCGTAAGTACTTGGATGCCGCTTTGCAGCGAGATCAACTCGGAAAGCAGTCAGATGTTTTTATTTTGATGCAATGAAAAGTCAGAATGCCAAGGCGTGAGTGCCTGAAACTTTCGTTTGTCCCACGGCTTTGTAGTGCCTTGTAGTGCTTTCATGTCGCAAGTCAGATGTTTTTATTTTGATGCAATGAAAAGTCAGATGGTGAAAAATTTCGGTGCAAGCAGAAGCTCCGGAATGCCAAGGCGTGAGTGCCTGAAGCTTTCGTTTGTCCCACGGCTTTGTAGTGCCTTGTAGTGCTTTCATGTCGCATGCGGAAGTTTGCCAACGAAGTTGTTTGCACGCTTGTCGTAAGTACTTGGATGGCGCTTTGCAGCGAGATCAACTCGGAAAGCAGTCAGATGTTTTTATTTTGATGCAATGAAAAGTCATATTTTTCTATTTCGGTGCAAGCAGAAGCTGCGGAATGCCAAGGCGTGAGTGCCTGAAGCCTTCGTTTGTCCCACGGCCTTGTAGTGCCGGGTTTTGAATATTGGGTTTAGGTTTCGGGTTTTGAATTTATGGTTTAGGTTTCGGGTTTTGAATATAGGGTTTAGGTTTCGGGTTTTGAATATAGGGTTTAGGTTTGGGGTTTGGAATCTAGGGTTTAGGTTTAGCGTTTAGGTTTAAGGTTTTGAATTGAGGGTTTAGGTTTAGGGTTTAGGTCTAAGGTTTTGAATTTAGGGTTTAGGTTTAGGGTTTAGGTTTAAGGTTTTGAATTTAGGGTTTAGGTGCAGGGTTTAGGTTTAGGGAATTGAATTTAGGGTTTAGGGTTTAGGGCAGGCCCCGGCAAACGCTCACCTGTGCAGGCAAGCGTCTCGCAGAGGCGGGAGCTGCGGCCACTCACCTGTGCAGGCAAGCGCCGCCACCAGCAGATCCGCGCGTTATTCGGTGTCGCACGGTGCACACAATGTTGCATGGTTATCATTATAGTCATTTGCGATTTGCCCTTGCGAGACCTGCCTGGCAGGAAGCTGGGCCTGAATGCATCATCAGCATATGCCCTGGGCAAGCACCGCTGGTGCTCGGATGCTTTGTATGGCGATTGGCCCTTCATCTGGCCATTTCTTACCCTTGGGAAGCCGGGCTGTCTTGTGCTGCCAGCCTCCGTACCAAGGGAGATCATGCGTTTGCCATTGCGCAACTCAGTCTAACTGGGGAGCGGGGCATCTGAGCGGGGGTAGCTGCTAGCCTTGCGCATATTTTGCCGAACGACGTCTGCCGGCTAAGTCTGCTAGTCGCGGCCTGTCTCACCGTTATTTACTCTTTCTTGTACAGTTTCTTTAGTTCTTGACTTTCTTGTAGTTCTTGCTGGGACCGAGTGCAGCAACTTGCTGTCGTTGAGGCCCGCCCACGCCAAAAACAAAAATGCATGGCATCCACTTACCCAGCAGTCTGCAAAGTTTAATGTTTGGCGCGAATTTCCCACTGTAGTGGTTGACGTTCGGCGCCGGCTTCAAGTAGAATTTAGAACAGCCTGCGGAGTTTGACGTTCGGTGCGGAGCTAAACCACACCTTGAGCGGCATTCAACTACCCAGCAGTCGGCAGAATTTGTTGACGTTCGACGCGGAGTTCAACCCCAGCTTGGCGGGCATGCAACTACCATGCAGACGTTGACGCTCGACCATTTTTCAACCAGGGCGTGGAGGGCTTCCAAATACCCAGCCGACGTTTGGCCAACACTTTAAACAGTGCAACACTGGAGTTTCCTCCCCCGCCGTTTCCGTAGTTTGCCGTCGCCGTGCTGTTGACCACAGTTGACCGCAGCCGTTTCCCGTGTGTGTGTGTGTGTACACTCTGTTCCAAAAGGACTTCTCCTCACACTCCACATATACGTTTTCCAGAAAGAGAACTTCAGCAGGGGCAGCGACAGAGTGCTTGGGATGGTTGCCAACGAAGACGCCCGTTTGCTCTGGTGATGCACTGGGAGACGTCCTGGTGTGTACCTGCAACGAAGCTTGTGACTTCCTATAACATCCTCGCTGTATTTTGGTTGTATTCAACTTCGCTGGAGCCGCTTCGCGTGATTGCTCGTGTGACAATTACAGTGCACCGGATGTGGCGTGGGGCTAAGCCGCGAACCCCCTCAGTGCTTGATTGTGGTGCCTTTTCCTCACTGCCCGCGTTCGCAGTACATATCCTTTGCAATTACCATATTCTGGTCGCACGGCTACCGCAATTTGTAGAAGCTTCAGTCCGCGTCCACGCGGTTGCATGTCGGTATCTACACCAGGTTCAAGCCTCGTTGGGGTTTAGGCAGGTTGCTCAGCCCACAACAGCGTAGGTGCACATGTAAACGCCCTGCAATGTCGCAAGATAATGAAAAGTTTCCAGCACTGTAACCGACGCATGCCGACATGTAGCTTCATTTCGATTGTCGGAACAAAGTCGCCGCATCAGACCGCCTGGCCAATGGGCTCGAGTTTCATCACAAGGGCTTGGTGTCAAATGTTATTTGTTCGTGCCGGAGGTGCTGTTTTGTGACGATGTTGTCAACAGGTGCCAATCTGCAGTATTGTTAACGAGACTTTGTGTTTCATTAGTTGTCAACGCATTTAGTCAGTTAGCCAATCTGTGTTCGGCATAGAAGCTTTGTGCGAGCATAGTTTCTGTCGACTTGAAATTAGCTAGTGCTCCAAACCAAGTTCAAGTTCATGAGGAAACGTGCAATTCTAGTGTTTCGTTTCCCCTGTGGTCATGACCTGAATACTGGCGAACAGGCCTCGCAACAGTATGCTGTTTTTTGCACCGTGCGAGAGTGGCCTGTCGGCAATTCTCGCAGCTACATAGCCAGGATAGCTCCCTGCTACGTGTATGGGTTGTGCCGGCTCGGCCGGGGACTTCAGCTGGAGAGATTCTTGAAGGTAAGCCGCGAAACTCGAAGGTATCGAAGCAATCGCTTCACGATGAGCTGGAGGCCGCCGTAGTGAACCCCCTGTGTTCATCACGAGCAATATCAAGCTCGGGTAGTCAAGAAAAGAGTATGGATGCTTCATCTGAACGCGTCGCATGTTTCTGAGTGCTTTTGATCAAGACAGGCCACAGAACGGGAATTGGATACAGAACGCCGAAGGCTGCAGGCTTGCGTGAGTGGGTCAAAAAGCATGGATGCAGTGAACCGCATGTTTTGACAGGAGAAAGATTTGCAGATCGCCAGCGTATCAGAATGTTCAGAGCCCGTATCAAACACTCGCATTGTTCAAAGTGTTTTTTTGCAGATTGGCAGACTGACGATGGTTTGACATATGAGGCCTGCAGCGGCAATTGCTGGCTTCGGAACAGGTTGTCGTGCGTGTGCATGGCGATCGGTACTTAGCGCAAATGCACCCAATCGCAGGAATCTGCAAAATCTCGCTCAGTGGACGACTTGCGCTCCGAGTTGCAGGAGCCTTCTGTATTTGGAGTCATCCTTATCGGGCGATTTTCAGACCGCTGTATGTAGACCTTGGTTTCCGTCTGAGCTTGCAGTTAAATTTAAAGTATTTAAAGTGTCAACTTGAAGCATGAAGGCATCTGATGGATGTACTGCTGATTGAATGTCCGTCGCAATGCGTGCTGGTCTGTGTGTGTCGTGACAGTCGCAGGCCAAGCAGCAACTACATGCAGAAGCTCTGCGTACCCAGCTCCTTGATGAAATCGAACTAGTTTCATCGCAACTGTAACTTCCACAGTGTTTTGGCTGCAAAATCAGGAAAGAAAGACTCTGCAAGCACCACGAGGAGGACTAGACACTGGATCATCGGACTGCAAGGCTATGTTCGTGCATGTCCCAGCTAGGAGTTGCATACAACGCTCAAGGCCGGGAAGAAGACTTTCAGTGGAGAGGTTCTTTATGTGACGTTGTTCAGCTTGTTCAGCTTCCAGACTGCCGGATGGAGATGCCAAGACACAGGCTCGGGAAGAAGAGCTTTCTCGCAGTCTTGGCGTTCAAGAGGAACGCGCTCAGGCAGAGGCAGCCGAGAACTTCTCTTCTTGTCTTCGTGTCTTTCTGGCGCAGATTTTTTTCATGTGGCCCGGCCTGAGGCTGCCAGCCGATGTGAAGCAGAGGAAGTGGCACCCAAGCTCAAGCTGAGCGCAAGCGCAACACGGTGTTTTTTGGTGGGGATTCTTCGTCGAGGCCAAAGCAGAAGTAGCAGCCAGGATGTCTGAGGCGGGAGCCAGACTGCTGGACCAGTTCAGTTGCAGTCTTTCCCTGTATCTTTGCATTTGGATCGGCATTTGCCATTGGTGATTTGACGTTGATGGACAAACAGGTGCTACTGGTAGCTGGTAGTTGCTGTGCTTGGACATCACCCACCACTCCGCATCGCCCCAAAGGGCATATCGGCAAAAAGTACTTACTGCGGATGTTGTGCCCTGCATGATACGGATTGACGAAGATTCACAGCAGAGTGCAAGCCAAAGGCTCGTAACAACATAGGCAAGCTGTGCCTTGAGGATTCTGGGGAGGACTGCTGGAAAAGTGTCGAAAGGCCTCGGAGCCAGCATGACGAGCATGCAGGTCGAGGCTGCAGCTCAGAAGCAAGCCCAACGACACCGAGCAGAGGTGGAGGCAAGTCGCAAAGTTTATAGCTTGCAAAGCCTCCACTTTCGACCTGCTAAAAGGCCGCCAGAAGTGAGCTTCAAATGCTCAAAAGCCAGGCTACGTGCTGCGATTCATGCCGTTTTGCTTGGAATAAGACTTTGTGGTCCTCCCTTGTCCGCTGCAGAATCAAGCTTGCGTCTTGAACTAGAGACCACCCCAGAGTCTTCATGGATCGGAATCGACCCGAGCACGAGACCAGCAAACTGACCGTTGTAGACAGCAGTTCGGGGATCACGGCGTGCAATGCTAACGCTTCTGGCGCGCTCTCGGTGGCGCTTCTTCGGGCCTGAACATGCTTGTGCAGTCAGGCCACGAACACAACCGCTTTTTCTGTGCGGCTGCGTAGAATTGCTGTTGACTTTCAGGGTTCAGCGGCGTTTTTTTGCAAGAGAGCCGGCAGATGGCACTCAAGGCCTGTCACACCTCTCCGGCTCTGTGACTCCCTGAGCAAAACCTCTGAGAAAGGCTTTAAGCGCTTCTACGAGCAAGTGCAGGAGTACAAGGCAGACGAAAGCAGGCAATCGCAGATGTAGCTCGGATGCATGGTTTTTCTGCCTCATGCGCCGCAGTGTCGGCAGGTTGCGTGACGGCTGGGCCTGGATCGGCTTCGTGGAGCACAAGCTCGAGGAGACAAAGCTCAAAGCAACAAAGATACGAAGGACGGTTGCAATTCCATCGTGAGCACGAAGTTCCGGGCGTTTTATTGAGCCGGCTTTGGTCCAGCAGGCCTAGCTAGGGATCCCAATTTTTTTTTGTGACAACTCTTGCTCTCTCGTCGTTTACAGAAAGGCAGTCAACCCAGACGCTGAAACACACAGGATTTCCAAACCCGGAAGCCCACAATGTGGTCAGATGAATCTTCGAGTGAAGAGGTGACAGGGACATGGTCGGGTACGTTGGGCTAGGCATGACCAATAGCCAATAGCCCACCATGTTCGGGCAGGGACGCGATCAGCTGCACTGCGCGAAATATGTACTGTACAAACGTACTACCGAGTACTGCGTCCGACTTCACGTATTGTCACAACGTACCACAGCCTTCTCCAATTCTTGCTTTGTACAACTTCAAAGCCTCTCTGAAGGTTGCGGATGACAGGTGGGCTTTGCAGTGTCAGTGCAAACTTACATGGTGCGACCCGAAAGAATGATAGCAAGTAAAGGTCAACAAACGAAGATAAGAAGATATGCGAGTTTGCCGTGCCAGTGAGTAGGGAAGAACAGGAACACTTCGCAGGGAACCTGAAATCTAGAGTTTCGGGTATTGGTATTTCAGCTAGCTGTGATACCATCATACTTTTGGTTTGGCTTTGGGGTTTTCGAAGCTTAGCTGTTTGTAGATATCAGTGTAAGCTTGTATGATTTGTCTAGATGAAGCAGGTGCCCTGGGTGTTCGTTGATGGAAGGCATTTCGCTTTGCCAGGAAGCTGCGGTATCCGAATGATGCGGAGGGGCAGGCAAAGAAAGCCGAGCAGCAGAAGTATTGGGAAGACGTCAAGGTCGTTGTGTAGATGCGAAAGCCTTGCCTCCTCTTGCTTCTTTGAATGTCCTTGTGGGGGCCGAAATGTGCATGTAAATGGTGGCTTGCAGTGCAGGACATGTGAGCTGCTGCTCTCTCGTCCATGAGAGTGTGCGACTCTGTGCGAGCTTCACCGTCCGTGTACAAAGCACATGGTTCCGACTGGACTTCCTTTCGAAGGCCGTCGATGATATCGTCATAGCATCCAGCTGTTTCACGTTGATTTACCGCGTTCAATCGAGAAGAACGGCAGTTGTGCTTCGATTTGAATGCTCATGTGGTCAGTTGCATGTACCCTCTAGCGTGCATGTCGGTGATCATTGCACGCTAGTGCGCAGGTTGCTCCTCTCCGGGCTGAGCATGTTGAGGTGACTAGTGGCTTTGCGGTCTCTTGCACTTTTGCGCGACACAGAGCTCGTTATTGCCCGAGGCTACAGAGATGCTGCGGGAGGCACGAAAGTCTCTCAAATCAGAGCAGGACTGCACACGTTCAGACCGGAGTCGACAAAGTTATGTGCACGGCAGTAGAGGTCGGCGAAACCAGTGTCGGAAAAACCCCGGGTCGTCGGCAATGAGATGCCTTCGACATGATTTCTGCATAGTACTTGTGTATTGCTTGTGCTGTATGCCTGGCTTTAGCAGCGAATTTCGCAGGAGGAGCGTGCATCTGGGAGACACGCGGACGACCTAGCTTGGCACAAAGTGATTGTGCGGACCAAGACGGAGTACCGGTCATGCATGCGGCCCCAATGCACGCCAAATTATGCTCGGTTTGCCATATGTAGATTACTATTACGAAACGCCAAGTGAACAGCCGAAGTCAAACCTTGCGAACATGTTAAGGCCACGGCTTTGGAGGATCGCTTGGCAGAGGCTTTCACCTCGCAGAGACAGCCCACCTTAGCTTCAGTTTCGTGAAGAGCAGTTGGTTGGGCTTTCTTCATGTTGCCAGGCCCATCGCGAGCACGAGCGTGCTGAGCAAAGGCATGGTGATGTGACTTCGCCATGAGCTCAGCGTATTGTGTGGAAGTATATTACTTTGCAGGCCTGTGCCGGCTTGGGATGGGAACAACCCTTGGAACAGATTCCAACAACGGACTAAACTTCCCAAATTGCTGACACCGGGACTCTCTATGCTCACGATTGGGTTGTCTGGCAATTGGAGCATTGGATTTGTGCTGCAGTTCCTCCTCTGAGCCTGGTTTCCCGCGAAATTTCTCGCAACGTAATCCTGAAAATGTCTCCCCTCCAAACACAAACATATACTCTGCGCAAAAATGTTTACTCAGTGGTTTACCAACTACGGGGATCCCTATGCTGTGAATTGTGGTTAGTTTCATGATTAGTAAGGCAGCCAACAGTGTTAGCCTTCGGGTTTGGGGTGCGTCTAACTTGTCGTTTAGGGTTTAGCTTTTCGCATTCACCATGTCGTTCCGTGCTGCCCCATACTTGTGAGGTGTAGGATTCTGCATCCAAGGGTGGTTCGCCCCCGACGTGTGCTCAACATTTAGTTGTTTAATGCCTCTATCTTAATCTCAATTGTAAAAACTCGCATCATGTTTTGCATGCCACACTGGTTTCAAGGGTAATGGTTTCGCACGAGCCCGTTGAGGGGTGTAAGTTTCTTGCACCATTGCTGCGGGTTTAGGGTTTAGGGTCCAGAGGTTGGGGTTTTTGATGGTTATTTTGAGCTGTCTTTTCGCATCCTTATGCCTTTTTTTGCGTGTGGCGCTTCAACCCCAGCATGTGCCTGAAGCGAACGAAGCGAGCACAGGCATGAGCGAATCCACAAAAGCGATGGGTGGGACATGACGTCCAATTTCTCCTTAGCATTTTTCCGTCATTTCCCAGCAACAGGAAAGAATGTTTTCGGTAGCGCGAACGGCTTGAGCTGTTATGTGTTTTTCCTGCCGGCTGAGCTTCAAGGCTGCTCCACCTGATCTTGAATGGCTTGGCGTTGCTCCATGTCGGTAAAGCATTGTAGACAAGCGCCATCGTTGTGATGGCAGACGGCATTGATGCTGGCTGGACGTTGCGAAAGCGAAGCACCGGATTCTTGTCCGCCCGGCCGACAGTGGTCTCACACCGAAACCGAATTTCGGTCTGTTGTCTCGAGTGCGGGCTGTTGTTTCGGCTTGTGCGCGTCCGTCATTCCGGTTTACCTATGTGGACATGCAACATACATTGACCATGACAAGAACAGCTGGGCAGCATGCATGTTGCCTTTCTGGCCACCGGTGAAACTGCTCCACTGCCAGAGATGGGTTTCTCCAGCGTGGAGTTTATGGGGAGGCCCCTTTACAAAGCTGGAAGACCATATCTCCTCGGGTCGCAGTTTTGTCTTGTACCGTCTGCGGGAGTTCGCCTTCTTTCGCCTTCTACTATCCTTTTAACGGCCATCGAAATGGCTCCACTTGGACGAAGTTGTCGGCTGCTGCTCGCAAACTGCTCCAAGCCGTTCCTGTTCCCAGGAGGTTGCTGCGGGAGCGTGCGCCAGTGGCGAGCTGGGGGACCACAATCGCTTTCAACGTAGATGTGTGCTTTTCTGCTTGATGTTTTCCTGTCCTGAGGCTTTCTTGAAAATTTAATGAGCGGTCACGAATGACGTGTACTTTTTTTAACTGTTTTTTCGAGGGCTTGTTGTAAGGTTTCACGCCTAAAAGATGTTTGGAGCACAGTGTTTGCCATATCACATTCCTCGGCGGAGGTTTTAGGGTTTTTCCATGACCTGAGGTCGCATGCCAGATGTTCAACACGTTGTGGCAACAATCCGGCGGGCATTGTGTGTCTATGTGCGAGTGTGTTTTTGTTTGCGTGTGATTGGCTTGCGGATGTTCGCGGCTGACGCTAAGTGGTTGGAAGTTGTGAAGCCATCATCCACAATGCATGACAGTGTCATGTGTTCAAACATGTTTCTTCGTACCCAACATGTTTTCGGCTTAACGTGTCGCAACCCAACAGCTATTTTAAGGGAGGAGGAGGAGGAAGAGGAGGAGGGAGGAGGAAGAGGAGGAGGAGGAGGAGGAGGACAAGAACGAGGTGGCAGTGGCAGTGGCAGTGGTGGTCTTGGTCGTGGTGGTGGTGGTAGTAAAAGTGGATGCTATTTTGGCATTGTTTTGTCTATTCGGAACATATGTTCCGGTAGTCCTGATATGTCCTGATTGCTTGTCGCAGGTTTTTCAAGGTTCAACTGCGAGACTTGCATGAAGAGCTCCAGACACGTGCGGAGGAGGGCGACTCGAGACGAATATAATTACGCAATTTCGTGTGACTACCATATCGGACAGGACCTGCGAGAGCGAGATGCGGTTGTCCTTCGCAGAGACCAGGTGCCTGCATGTGCGCCTCGTGGAGTCTTTGGCAAGCTTGGTTTTTGTAGGAGCTGGACGAAGTGAACGGCCAGCTGAAGGATTTGCAGGCAGGCCCCGCGCCAGCCGCAAAGTGCAAGATGTAAAGCGATTACACTTACCATGACGTGATCCGGTCCAGGGCCTTTTCGACGAAGTGAATGGGCAGCTTCAGCACGAGTCGACGTCCAATTTACTTGTTCCGGTGGCCCTTCTTGTGCAAGTGATGTCTTATCGGCAGACTTGTTTGACAGTACTGCCTAGATGTGGGCGCATCGAGCGTCTGCAGGGTGTTCCGATCTCAGTTGAGTGCTGCATGCTGTCAGCTTCTTTGGCAAGATATGATAGATGCACCAGGCTGTCACACAGTGTGCGAAGCAAGCCAAAGAGCTGGACTCCCTGCAGAACATGCTGGAGGTCTGAGCAGAGAATTGTCTTGTCTCTGCAAACTGCCCTGGCCTTCAGGGGCTCTGTGGTTTCTACTCGTTTCTGCAATCGCTCCATGAGTGCTAGACTGTAAGACCGCGTGGAACTGCAATATCGAAACCGCACCAAAGAGCCTCGAGGAGATGGAAAGTATGGCGCTGGCAGGACCTAGCGTCACTTTGATTTGAAGGCCACAGGAAGCACGACGTGCACCCAAAAGCTTCAAAAAAGACACGGTGTTGTGCGGAACTTCGATTCGTCAATGCCAAAGCATTGGAATGAAACATTAACCGTGCGTCGCTGGAGTACGGGGCCCGAGCGGCACTGCGGAAAGAACGTGATTTTCCTCCGACATGTACCTCGTCGGGTGTGCCTGCCGTGTGTACCTAGTGGTGACACTGTGGACGGTGGGCCCTTGAAGTGGCCGGTATCACATCACCGCCCGAAATCGTGTTTGCACAGCCACTCCGGCCCACCTCACTATGCTCTAGTCCTCTAACATCCTCTGCCGGAACCAAGCCTGTGTAGTAGCCGTGCCTCGAGCCCCTTTGCAGTTTCGTTTCTTCGATTCTTGAGGAGCCCAAGAAAGTCTCTGGTAGAGGGGGAACCTTTCGTGTTGCTGCGGCGCATGCGTTTGCAGAGACTTTTCGTCGATCTTGCACTGGCATGCATGCCTCATGGATAATGAAAACTTCAATAATCCCGTGCAGACCCCTAACAGGCCCTAACAGTGAGCACCTGGCTGTCCAAAGCCTAAGGAAGAACCAGAACCACCCCTCTCCCAAGACCAGCCCATGTGTGCAACAAGCGCACCATGCTCTACAGAACAAACAACTCACTGTTGCGATGGTAGGAGTGCCACTTCAAAATGCGAGCCGTAGACATCACGGGGAAATTTGAGAGTTTCGGGTGCGACTGTAGGGTCTAGAGTATCAGCGGTTCAGACGTAAGGTGTTCCCGCCTCGCATTCACGAGACGGCCTTAAAACGGGTCGATCGCACGGCTTACCGATCGCTAGAGTGAAAGTACACAGCACCAGCTCCATCAACTGGCAGGAATCCCATCGCATGCTCGCGCAGCTGCGTGAAACTCTCGAGAAGGCGAGTCCATGCGTGTTCCCTGCACAAATGCACACGTTAGAACCTCATTTTTGAGAACAGGAAAGAGCTGAGCGCATGAGAGTGGCGTCACTTCTGGAGCATGAACAGCAAAGGCAGGGTTAGGGCAGTCATGAGTCCCCGTATTTCCTTGTCTCTGGTCCCGAAGGACACAGCTGCTGTTGGACGTTTTGAAGCATTTCAAGGAAATCGCGTCCTAATGCGAGTTGGCGTTGCAGTGGCTGCGCTTTTCCTCCCTCGCCTCAGGAGAAGCTTCAGGGTCTCACTCCACAGATGCTGCTCAGTTAGATGCCCAGGAGAGGGGGCAAGGGAGCACTTAAGAAAGCCTGGGATCAGTGAGGCCGGCTCGGCGTTAACGATCCAAAGGCTGGAATTGCAGAGCATCTGAAAGCCGAGCCTAGCCCCGGCACACGAAGAGCAAAGCGCGACAGAGGCGCTGCTGTCAAGCCCGACGCGCTCAGCTTAGCTGGGCTTGGATCAACGGCATCTATCTAGCGCAACTTCGAGCCGAGGCTGAACAAGCTGATCAGTGAAGCATCATCGGATCTCGCACCTGTCCTCAATGGGCTGGAAAACTCCAGCATGTCGGACATGAAGTCTTCTGCGAGAGCTCCACATGGTTCTATGTCGCCCTGGGGTCGGCTTCTCGAAGCGAAGATTTCACATGGACAGCCAATGCTACACCCGACATGTCCTTAGGTCCACCACGAGGTCCAGGTCTTGCATGCCGTGGCGCGGTGCCGAACTTAGCAGAGAAGGGAGGGGCTGCCATGCTGCCGAAGGGGCCTAGCCAAGACTCGCCCAGATTCTTGAAGGATCAACAACCGCCGCGAGGGTTGAGTGTCTGTCAGGCGGCGGAATCGCCCTGGCGAGCCCCCACAGCAGCCTTTGAGGCACCGGATACGCTGAGATCAGTGAGTCCGAGATCCAGGGTAGAGCCGAATCTGCTCGAAGCTAACCCAGGGAGTGACGTCAGGAGACTCGGAGTCCAGAAAATCCCGACAAGTGAAATGACACCTGACAACACGAGTGTTTCCGGAAACAAGACGTGACAAGGGCACTGCCGGGGACAGCCCGTTAGCGTGGCTCCAGCAGCTTCGCTGCGAAAGGGCCGGAGCGTGAAGCTTGGGCTCCCAAGACCATTCGCGTGGAACTGCGTGGTTTTCTCCTCTAGGCTTTCAGGCCGTCTTTTACCATGGCAATGGAGCAATGCAGTGCCACTGGTGCTACTTAGTCTTCGGCTTGCCATGCGTCGGTTGAAGGCTCAAGGCACGGAGTTTGGCTTTGTTACGCATGAGATGCTTTCCAGCATCAAGGGCATCCACAATGCAGACTCCTTCTTCGTCACTGGTTTTGGGGTTTTTGGCTTGTTTGCACTGCACCGTGGCACACCATACCAGGCACCTCCGGAGCCCTGTGTACCCGTTTCACAGAAGTCCTGAGCTCATCTGCTTTTTGCTTTCACGAGCTTTCCCCGGACCGGAATCTATCTGAGGCAGCTTCGACCCACCGGGGCTAGCGCAGCCCCACAAACTGGCGTTGCACGTAGAGAATCATAGATCAAGAGCCGGCTGTCATGAGCCGCTTGTCGTTGATGAGTGTCAACAGCCAGCCGATCGAGGAGTGTCAGCTCTAACAGCCGCGCTGTAGTTTCATGCTGTACAGTACGACTGGGAGATGATTGTATCGCTTGGTCGAATTAGGTGCTATTGGGCCCGAAGGGTCCGTAATTTGGAAGGGCTTTCGCCACTTGCTCGTGTCATCCCAAAAAGAGCTGTGGATTATCCAAGATGTTCGGCTTGCGTAGTTCTTCTGCTTTGCAGTAGGCTCTGCGCAATCTGCCGGTATGCAGAGGCATGTCAGTGGCCTTTAACAGCTAGGACCTCACCGATGCCCTGGGCCATACTTCACTCCCACAAAGAAGACCGGGGGAATTTTTTGCAAACTTGTTCCTCGTACGAATTTCTCTGATTACCTCTTGCAGTTGAGTAGACATGTTGCGCGGCCAAAATCACCGCCGGTCTCATGTTCGTTTTGTCAAGCTTGCGCATTAGCGCACCATATAACGACTTCCAGCAGACGCCTGTCCACAAGACTCAAGACTGCCAGAGCCCTTAGTTGTAGAGCCTGTCGCAAATGCTAAGTCTTAGGAGCTTGCTTCTTTTCCTCTCTGCGCCTTTGGGCGTGCAGAGCGCTTGTGTTCCATGTTGCCGGGCACTCAGACGAGAGGTGGAACATCAGCCGCTAAGCAAAGTTGCGTGTAAGTCCAAGTGGCTACAGTGTGTGTAAACAGGGCAAGCGAGAGAGGGAGAGAGGGAGAAGTGTGAGTCAGTCGAGATTATGATGATGCTTTTTTCGGAGAAGTTGCGAGGCTCTTGAGCCCCCGCTTACATCACAGTCTCCGCGTGGATCAAGGGGGGTAGAGAGATGTAGAGAGAGGCTCTCCCGCTCTCTCCTACCGGAGGGACAACGCCGGAAACTCCTCGTAGAAGCAAGCTAATCAGCGAGCGAGTGAGCTAGAGAAAGAGAACGCAGTCGAAGGTGCGCCTGACCTTGATGCCTGGGGCTTGAAACGCCAGCCGGGAGAGAAACGGAGAGAGTCACGGGCTCCCGACCTGGTATAGAGAGAGAGGCAGAAGAGACGGAGCTGATTGCATAGTGTCTTGTGCACGCTCAGTAAATGGTTGACTGGAGACCGAGACAAAGGCAATCGAGCCGGGATCTCGGATCTGTGCAAGTAAATGCACATGAACTAAACCCACATCTGTCCTCACCTGTGAGATCGATTTGTAGACTCTCTTCGGACGTGAAATATTGGTGTTTGTGCCAGGTTTTTGCCTCCGTGGCAGATGGTCTCCAGGCCCTGGTTTCTCGAAACGGGAAAATCCTGCTTTCTGGTATCGTAGAGAATTTCATCGTCTGTGCTGTGTTGCTGAAGGTGCTCTACAAAGACAGATTGCTCCCGGTGGAGAAGGACTTCCGGACTGTCAAGTCAAGCAAACATTCATTCACATCATCTAACTTTTTTCTGCCTCCGCACTACTGCATCCATTTGACAGGATTTCAGCTTTCCGCACTTCTTCTCGCCTGAGCTGACAGATGCTGATTTCTCTGCACGGCCTATGGCATGTGCCTGAAATTGATGGTGGTACATTGCAGCAGCTCCAGACGACCGTCACACCGCCTTGGTTAACTTCTCAGGTCATGCTCACCGGCCAGTACTCGACTGGCAAGAGTGTTTTGGCAGCATCGCGAAATGCAACTACCAACATCCCCCGTGTCAGGCATTCAGGCGCAGGTATGCCCTTCCTCATGGTAGGTTTTGCCATACGGCCTGCAGAATCCAAGGCACTTTCATCCGGCACCTGCTAGGGCACGCTGCCTTGTTTAGCTTCATGGCTTCGGCTCAGCCTTGGAATCGCGAACTTGTTTGTGGTGCACGGTCAGCTGCGCAGCCAAGCGGTGTTTAAGATTTGTGGGACTCGGTGGCTTCAGGACGCATCATGAGACAGATCTTAACTTCGTTGATGGTAAGACTGGTAAGAATGCCGCCAGCGAGGCGGGACTACCCCGGATTGCGAATCGGCCCAGAGCCAACGACCGACAAATTCGTCGCTGTCTGCAAAGGCGATATGGATCAGGCACAGCTCAGTTGATGGACAGATTTCATTTTGCTTGCACATAATGGCTGCCATAGCTCGACAACAGTCATCCGCCTCCGCCTCATGAGAGGTCATTCCAGGGAATGCCTTGGTTGTTGACAAATCCATGCCGTTCACGCAGCTGAGCCACTTCGGTCACCAAGCTGCAACTTTTGGCGTCCACTTGATGTGCACAGTTCCTTTGAACAAAAAATGCTTTCTGCGGTGCTCACGCCTTGCGAGGCAACAACTTTCTTACGCGTTTCGAATGCGCGAAGCTTGACAGTCCTGTTTTAAACGGGATGTCTCTCATCGACACGGTCCGCCTGGCAAGGGTTGATTAAGAAGGCAAGAGAAGTGAGGGCACGAGTGCAAGAGCTGCCTTGCGGTGCCTTGCAGCCTGGTGTTCTGTCTGGCGAGAAGCAGCGCTTGAAGCGCCGGAGCCTCAAAGGCCGAGGCCGAGGGCGGCGGCTCCCGATGGCCGAGTGCCGGTCACGCAGCGCAGTCCTAAGGTGGATACGAGTTCGAGGCAGGAGCACTCTGAGCCATCAGCACCAGTGCAGCAGACTGCATTGGCGTGCTTTTCCCGGAATCGGCCTTCGGCCTTTTCGACCTTGGGTGGCGAAAGGCATTTTGCTCACAGCATTGCCAATGTGATAGACACGACCATGGAGCTACGGAGTCAGGCAGCTAGATCTGAATAGAGCTGACCCAATGCACGTTACATGAGCAGCTTCCAAAAGTCTCCAAGAAGTGCAAAGCTTCTTCCCTCCTGCACCGCGTTAGGGAGACTCCAACCCAGAACGAAGCACTACGAGAAGCCACGTGCAGCGCGCCCTTTTCGCGCCAAGTTGCAGCAACAATACACCAACCAATTAGCCAAATCAAGCACGCAGGTTTACAGAACAACGGTAGGCAGCTGGCTTGTCCGATACTGGTCTGCATAGTGTGCTGCGTCCGAGGCTTAGTAAGATGCAGAGCAAGACTCACGTAGTGCTGGTGAGGGCGATGCACAAAAGCTTGGGAAGGGAGTTTCTTTGTGCAATGCAGCTTTCAAGCAGGAACCAGAGCCTTCGTGCAGTCAATAGCAAGCAACACACTTGCTGTGGGGGTGATCGGCTTTCATCAGTTGCACCAGTATCATTTTGTTGTTTGGGCGTGCTGTCTGCTGCTTGCTGAGGCAGTCGATGATGGCTTCCACTGTCCTTGTTTCTGGGCTGAATGGGTGCATATCGAAAGTGCTGATTTCCGTGCTTTTGTTGATAGCCGAGGGGCAGAGAGGAACAGGATAAACAGTGTACAAATTTTTGTGTCGACTCCAGGCTGGCACTTCTGAAGACCCGTACAGCAGTTGCTGTTGGGTCGTTCCAGATGCCTGCAAGGCACGTGGCATGTGGTCTGGCCTGCTGCTGCAGCGATAGCAGGATAAGCCACATGGAGATGAAGTCCAGGTAACACTGGTTGTGGTTGTCCCTGATTAGCCCTGGACCGCAGCACAAATTCGATTGCTCTTCTAGTAGGGTCACCGAATCTCCTGGAGCATCTGCGTGATGTTGGATGGTATTGTTCTCTCAAGTGAGTGCTTCTCTACATTCTACATCTGGCTGTGGAATGATGTTATAGAAGGCCATTCACTGGCTGCTGAATGCGACTTGTAACAGGAAATAAATGATACTGGTGCGAGTGGGAAGTACTGTATTCGATTCACCTAGTGTCAGCTTGAGGGAATCTGGTGTCGTTGCAGAACGGTTGAAGGATGTGCTACCGTTGTTGCGGTCTTCTGGTGGGTGTTTGTAAAATGCGAACGTCTAGCCGAATGTTCCGAACGGATACAAAGACTGCGCGGAGATTGAACAGCTGTAAACGCTGTGACCTTTATCGCCTGCAGATCACCTACATGACGGATGTGGAGGGCCACTGGTCTTATTTCTGTAACTTCGCGCTGCTGGCATCCCTTAGTCTGGCAGGTATCTGCTGCATGTGCGACACTGAGCATGGCAGGTAGAGCTGTCAGAGGGCCTCACATTTGCAGAAGATGGCGCAGATGCCTCGGTCGTCGTGGGCATCGGAGAGGCTAGTAAAAGAATCGAATCAGGATCAGCGTGATGCTCGACGTCCTCCAGAACTGATCTTGAAGGCCTGGACTTTAGCATTCAGGGAATGCGCCATCGCTATGGGCTTGAACTGCTGTCTGCTGGTCCAGGACGGCTGGCACTTTGTTTTCGGTGGCGACACCTGTGACAAAGGCTGCAGCTTTTGTAGTACTTTGTAGGGGTTCAGATCAGCGAACCTTGGCGAACCTTGGCCAGGTCCTGGGTCTTTGAGGTGTCTAGAGACGCTGGTTTCGGCCAAGAAGCGGCTTGGCAGATGGGACGGGGTGCGGTGGGTGCTTTGGGCCTGGCCCGTGCGCTCTTCGGTCAGTTGAAATGTGGCATTCTCGTCCCCCAAAGCATAGTAAGGCGCTATCCCGACAGAGTTCATTTGCTTCTCGGAAATCGGGATATAAACAAGATGCGACGGGGCCTCAGCTCGAAGACTTGCCTTGCTGACGAAAGAGATGCGGTTCATTGCGAGGATACACCTCTGAATTTACGGATGAAGAGGCCCCGTCGCATGCTGGGATATGTCCTGGAGTCCTGGGTTCATGGCATGTGATTCTGGGCGGCTGGCGGAAATGAGCAGATGCAAGTTGATCAGGTGCGAAAAATCTCATCTGATACACCTGGTGCATACTGGGTTCCGGAGGACAAGCGAGTGAGGCCTGAAATAGCAGCGCTGTTGGCACAGTCGGCTGCCGTCTATCTCATGATTTTATCTCATGATTCATCATTCATATTGCGACCTTGGACAGTCCGTGGAGTTACTTCACAAGCCTAGCTGCTCATGCAGAAGGCCGTGGGCTCAGCAGTGCAGCGTGTGGCCGGAAGCAGTCAAGCAGCAGCGAGTCTGAGGCAAGGATACGGACCACCTGACACATGAGGAAATTCGGCACTTCTGCACCAAGTCCAACTTGATGAGGTGCACCTGGTCCGTGCATGTGATAAGACAAGGCTCCAGAATTTTTGTTGAAGATATCATCTCAAGTACGACATGGGCTCTGACGGCGAGTTTGAATTTCGGCGTCAGGAGCTGGAGTTCTGCTCACTTGCGCGGCCATAACTGCCTTGCAGCAGACGAAGCCCTTCCAGGAGCTTGCGCACATGTCAGAGAGGAACGTGGCCGAAGTGTCTGACGAAGAAGTCGTCAAGAGCTACGAGGACTTCACAGCAACAAGTGTTCTTTGTTCCTGATTTCACCGATAGGTTCAGGGGCAAGTTGGCATCAGGTCTGAGACAGTGCATCGAGTACATTGGCTGCAGGTGGTTCGAATCATGTGACCCAAGTTGTGGCTTTATGAGGGGAGTCGGGGGGCGAGTCAACTTTGGTCTATTGACAGTGTGACACAGATCACTAGATGCGGCACGCAAGAAGGCGGTGCCAGATCAATATTGCTCGACTTGTGCAATCAAATCTTTGATGACGGGGGAAAGTTCTTTCCGGGTGAGACCAGTCGCATCTCAAAAATCGTGGCGCTTGTTGTCAAGTCCCGAAATGTGACGTGGAGGATAGCGTCGCAGAGGACGGAGTCATGCGTCCAGGACCCAGTAAGTCAGGCGATACAGTAGTATAAGGGGCGGGGTCCGTTTTTGGTGACGGATTTCTTGTTTTGGTCCTTCCTTTCCTCTTCCAGCAGGGTAGTTTCCATGCTGTTCTCGAGTTGCCACTGAACTCCTGGGACTCCACACTCGAACAAGTACAGCAAGTCACTGCACGCTTTCCGTGTTACTCTCAAGATCTCAGCAGGACAATGAAGCGAAACTCCGATCAAACAGCTCGTGCAGTTCTTTCCACATTGGTTGCAAGACCACAGCAGAACATCCAAGCGTTTTTCCGCTCCCGGAGGAAGCGTTTGTCGCTTCAGTCTGCAGCTGCCACTTTCTTGCACGCCCGACAAACCGGGGTGTCATATCTCAAAATGTTGCGTCGGGTTTTCGTCTTGCGTCGTTTGTGCTGTATATTGTTCTAGATTGTTCTCTTGCGTTGACAGGCTTTCTTTTCTTACCGAATTTTCTTGCTTTCTGATGCTTTCCTGCTTACCGCTTGCGAGTTCTACTGGTACTACTTTTTGGTTTTCCCTATTGCTCTTTGGTGTCGGGGCTCTGCGACATGTACTACAGCTTTTGCTTTTTGCTCTGTTTGCTTTTTGCGCCCGGCCTCTGTTTTGAAGCCTTTGCAAAGCTTGCTATGAAGAATTCGTCGGCAGGATTGACTGCAACACCCAGATGTATCCTTTCCAGCCGGTCATTCGAGCATTTCAGCCCACTGCTTTTTGCTAAGACTTGCGGAGCTTGCTACTTGTATGAAGAAGTGCATGCCGCGGAAAGGAGGTGCTGCACTATCCAGATGAGTCCTTTCCAAATTACGCGATCAACCGCCATCGCCTAACGAGGGGCGGGTTTAAATCATGTGATCAACCGCCGCTTAATGTCGCCCAATGCGGGGCGGGTGTGAGAAATGCACTCAACTGCTGTCTCCTTTTGAGCATGTTGGTTGAAGAACCGCATTCAGCCGCCACGCGGCGTGTTTGAGACATGTGATCAATCACAATCGCCTCGTGAGGGGCAAGCTTAAGAACTGTGATGAAGCCAAGAAATCTAACTCGGACGGTGTGGGGTAAGAAATGTCATCAATCGCCATCTCGAAAAACGTGGGTGGATTTACATTTAGGACGTTCGGGCATGACATCAACTTCCATCGCCTGCTGAAGGCAAGGGGCTTTTAGACTTTCATCAATCGCCATCGCCTAAGGGTGTGGGTGTAGTAAATGTGATCAACCGCACGTGCTGGTGGCTTGGAGGAGCACACAAACGAGCCCGAGAAGCCACATACCCAGGATTTCGGTGGCAGGGCGGAGTCGAAAGAGATCCGGTGCTTTCGGTGAGCTATGGCCGTCAGCGGGCACATTAGACGATCAGCGTTGTCCTGCAAAACAAAGCCTTGGCTTCGGACAAGAAGCCAGCATCGCAGTTGCCCATCGCAGAGAAACCAATACTGTTTCGTTTGAGATCAGAGGAACATGACTGGGCGGTCAATATTTGGCAGTTTAAGTCGTGGAAGCAACTTTGCTAGCGGTGGCATGAGAAGATGTTGCCGATTAAAGAGCAACCCAAGCAAAGGATGTTGCCCATAACGGAGCAACCCGAACAAAGGGATAAGTGTGGCTCCGGCCGGCGAGTGAGACGTAGTTCTCACAAGCTGCAGCTCGGTAAATTGCTTTTACATGCTCCTGTCACTGAGAATAGACAGAACAGTCAGAAGAGTGGAGTGGCGCACATTCATGCCACCAAAGGATTCAAGCTCACTCCCTCCCGTTTGCTTGCAGGGCTGAGTTTTGCCTGCTTCGATCCCTTGACGGGATTTGGATTGGAGGAACACGTGCACGAGCCCGAAAGGCCGCAGTGCACATTCTCCGCAAAAGCAAGCGTTATTTCCACAATCCCAAGCCGGCCGCATTCACGGGGGAGATCGAATTCATTGAAAAGGTTCCGTTTTGGCCTCGTCTTAGCCATAGAAAAGCTCGAAATGTCTTTCGTCCTGGCAAGACCACCCTCTTCCCAAAAACCAACAGGAACCGCAAGCTGAAGAGGAAGCTAAGAGAGCTTCCTTCTTCCGAGGCGATTATCTCCGACTCGGAGAGATTGCCTGCATCCTGGGATCCACCCTCTTCGTCCACGGTCCCGACCTTGCTGCCGTGTCCGCTGCCTTGTGTCATCTTAGCGGTGCTTTTGCCGCCGTTGTGAGAGTCAGGCCAAATCATCGGCAACCAGTTCTATGACTGCGGGCATGATGGTGTCGCGTGGGCTGTTTGAGCCCCAGTCCTCTAGCAGCAGTTTTGTGAGAGATTGCAGACGTTGTGCTGCTGAGGTGGGTTGTGTGCCGCAGTCTTAGACAGGCAACTGCCAGTCGCAGGGCCCAGCGGAAGCCTTCAGCAATCGAGGCCCTCAGAAGATGGTGCGACCTTCGAGTGGGTGGCGGATCTGAGGGACTGGGTTTCGACCTGAGATTCCTTCTGCAACCGAGGGCAAAGCAGTGGCATATACTTCTTGAACGTGCTTGAGGTAAAGCAGGTCAATACCTGGGCCCGACGAAGTGTGGCTGGGGACTCGCCGCAGCAGTAGGTAACAGGTGCACAAGCATTTCCGTGTCGAACTCGCTACTCCTGCGGCAGTGTACCGAGGGGGCGTGGCAGGTCCAGCCAACCTGGCAAAGGTCCAGACGGGGGAGACATGCGATATGTTTGAACGCCACTGGTCGGTGGCAACAGGTCTCCCTCCGCTCCAACTTTCGAGGACTGTTCTGACGCTGACACGTGAATCATGTCCCACGTGTTCCACGGAGATACGCTGTACCTGCTGCTCTCTTGGTCAAGTCTGTTGTTTTTGTACAGGAGTGGTCTCACAGAGGAGGTGCTGGGCTCATTGCCTATGGAACCCCCGCCACACGTGCGGGCGACCAAGTGCACGACTGTCACGCATGTTCCTTACGTGGATGCAACTGATGCATGGCCGCTTCGTACAGATGCTCAAGATGAGGTACCTTCAGTGGTGTACTGCCGCTGGCTGGAGGGCAATTGCATGCCCAAGTCTCCCTGGCTCATTGCCACGAGGTGTTTGCACCAGAGGGCTCGATCATGCACATGTCTTGCTGGGCTGTGAGCTAGTGGAGTACCTGGATGTACCCTTGCATGCTTCCGGTTGCTTTGGCTCGACCAGCGGACGTGAAGTGCGCAGCGCCGCAGCGCGTACTGGGCTCCTTCGCCATCATGTCGGAGCAGTCAGCAGAAGATCGGCAGATCGAGCAATGGAAGGTGAAGCGCCTTGTCAGGATGCTCGATGCTGCACGTGGAAATGGCACCTCAGCCATTACATTAATTCTCAATTCCAAACAGGACATCAACCTGACGAACAAGATGTTGACGGAGGAGTATGGCACTGCATCGTGCATCAAGTCGCGGGTAAACCGCTTGTCCGTGTTGTCTGCTATCACATCAACGCAGCAGCGATTGAAGAAGTACAATCGCACTCCGCCAAACGGCCTCATCGTTTTCTGTGGTGAGGTCTTGACGGAGGCCGTGGGGGCTGATGGTAGTGGCTACTCGTGCATCCCTGTAGACTGAATAGACGGCAATCTTCGTCCCTAAGAAAACGAGTACCGCTTTGGTACGGTAGAAGGCTCCAGCTAGATGTACATGTTCCGATGCATCCAGGAAGATGACCCCTCCCTTGCAGGACAACAAGGAGAAGAAGCTCACCATCGACTTCGAGCCATTCAAGCCCATTAACACCTCCATGTACCTCTGTGACAGCAAATTTCATACCGAACCCCTCGCTGAGCTCATGGAGGATGATGACAAGTTTGGGTTCTTGATCATGGATGGTAACGGCTCTCTGTTCGGCACTGTGCAGGGAAACCATCGTGAAATCTTGCACAAATTCACAGTGGACTTGCCAAAGAAGCACGGCCGAGGAGGACAGTCTGCCTTGCGTTTTGCGCGCCTCCGACTGGAGAAGCGACACAACTATGTACGAAAAGTTGGAGAGACAGCGACGCAGATGTTCATTCCGAACGGAGAGACCCCGAACATTAAGGGGCTGATCGTGGCAGGTTCTGCGGAGTTCAAGCAGGATCTGACGACGAACACAGACCTCTTCGATCAGAGACTAGCGGCAATTGTCATCCCCCCGCTCCTTGACATTAGCTACGGTGGAGAGGCTGGTTTCAACCAGGCGATTGAGCTGTCGGCAGAGACACTAAGAAACGTGAAGTTTGTCCAGGAGAAGAAGCTAGTCACGAAGTTCTTGGACGAGGTTGCCACAGACTCTGGCCGATACTGCTTCGGGATTAAGGATACGATGCAGGGCCTGGAGGCTGGTGCTGTGGAGATCTTGATCATTTGGGAGCAGCTGGATATCAAGAGGCTGGTCATCCGGAACCCGCACACCGATACAGAGGAAGTCAAGTATGTGACTCCAGAACAGGAGAAGGATCCAAAGCTGTACGTGGACAAGGAAACGAACGTAGAGCTGAACGTCACGGAGAACGAGGCGTTCTTGGATTGGATAGTTGTGAACTACAAGAACTACGGCACCAAGCTGGAGTTTATTTCGGATAGGTCGCAGGAAGGCAACCAGTTCGTCAAGGGCTTTGGAGGCATCGGTGGGCTCATGAGATACCAGCCTCGAAGCTGCAAAATGCCAACTGTAGGAAGGAGGAATTCAAGTTAGAACACCTCGGAGTCGGAATAGAGTCCTGCACCCTTGTGACACCCTTGTGGCTCCGAGGCTTGAGTTTGACATGCTGGAGGAGCCCGACCTGGCGGAAGCGGACAGCGATGATGACTTCATGTGAGACCTTGTAGCTGCGCAGAAACCATGCCAAGTCCAAGACTGGCATTCTGCAATCCAAGAGTGAGAGATCGAGAGAGAACTAGTGTAGTTCTCAGCCGGCAATGTTCTGAGAGTCTGGCCATGGCCATGGCGCTGAAGGCTTAAAACGTGAGCAGGCTACGTAGAGCAAATTTCCAGAGCATGGCCAGTGCTAGTAGGCTGTTAAGACCTCTCAAAACCAGTTGTGATGGGAGCTGCCGGGCCTGTCCTGCAACAGTCACAGTCACGGACAGTCTGACAGCATGCTGCTGACACGCATATCAAATATCAAGTCTTGCAGCATATGTTCTTGTTGTCCTCCTCCTTGAATACAGGCCCTGCCATACATGTACAGTGTACAGGCTCAACAGCACCCTTTGCACAGGCACGATTCTGAAAGGCTCAGCTCCTGACAGTCTCCTCACTCTTGTAGCCTCTCACGTACACCGTGGCAGGGCGCGTGACTCAAAAGTTGTTCTATATAAGCTTGCTTCTAGATGCCATCAGGTCTTGGGTCAAACACTTGTCCCTGCGACTGTGCCCATGAATCGGTGGCACGGCTCTGTTCTCCGCGGTTCGGCTCAGATCTTTGTTTCCTTTCAGACCATGCTCAGGGTCGCCGAGGCGGGACATCTGTGGGGTTGTGTTGTTTGAAATGATACATTGTATCTTGATATCGTGCTTGCTGTCACATGTCGGGTTTAACGTTCCCGAGGCACCTAGGGGTAGGTAGGCATGCATGACCGGGACGGTAAGGCGACAGAAAGCCAACGCGAGCTACAAAGGGCATTTAACCGGGCAACGCTGGAGCCGCTGAAGCTGCAGGTGATTCCCTTGAGAGCCGTCCCCGGTGTGCAGCCTGCTGGCCTGAGCAAACGCTTGCAGAGAGCTCCTGCAATCCGACTCAGTGCTTCGAGCACCCGAGCTTCATTGCTGACGGCACCCGAGAGCGGGGCGGGGCTGCTCCGAAAACCATGCGAACAAGTGCTCTGAGGTATTCGGAGCACTGCTACTGCTATTAGCTTTCTCGGTGCGGCTGTGACAAGGCTGCGTTGCGTTTTTGCAGATCCGCTTAGCTGGTTGGCTTTTCTTCGCCCGAGGCGAAGATCACGAACCTTCGCACGTGTCGCAGTCGCCATGGCGGTACCCGAGAATTTGGAGGCATGAGGCGGCATGTGTGCCAGGCGGCTCTCAGTAATCCGGAACAGCAACATGCCTTTGCAGGCATTGCTGTTTGATATTGATGGGACCCTGGCAGACACAGATCCCGTTCACTTCTCAGCGTGAAGGCCTTAGCATGCCGCCGCCCTTTCAGAGCTTCCGAAAGTGTGGTCTAAACAAAAACACAGCCACATCCGCACCTGCTGATTTCCGTGACATGAGGTTCGTCGACATCTTGAGAGAGGTAGGCTTCAATGATGGTATTCCCATCGGTCCATTCCTCGGTGCTGACCATCGTATCAGAGTTGTCGGGAAATTCGGGGGCAGTCTTTTAACCACCGGCTACTCTTGCTTGCATTGCTTCACTGATGCTTGCATGCCAGGGCTTGACAAAAACTAGGCTGCATCAGCCCAAAAGAAAAGCAAAGCTGCTCCGTTGGCTGCGCCACGACCCGATTTTGTCCAGCAAGCGACTAGAGAGAAAAGGCACTCGTCCAGAATTGACAGCCAATGGAACCTGACAAACAGACAAGCAGTCGGATGACGGGCAGCCCCCACAAAAAGCATTGAAGTAGATGTAAAATGCTCACTTGAATGGGACAGCATGCGCTGCTCTTCCTGAGGCAATCAAATCCCAAACCCTCATGAAGACGAGAAGACTTGGTATTCCGTGAATGTGCTGAGACACTGCCATAGCTTCTGACGATATCAGTGGTCGTGCTTGTCCACCTTACCGCTGATACGGGTGCGTCAACCAACAATCACTGAGGGCTTGAAGGAGAAGCAACAAAACGAGATGCTGGATACAAAGCACATGCAGCATACATGAATAGCAACATTGCGAAGCAGTCACGGCTGACTCTCGTCCCATAAGATGAAGACTTCTTCAAGAGCCGGTCAGGTCCTCAGATCGGATCGCGTCCTTGTAAGCTGTTCCCAGATCATGGCATGTCGAAGGATTTCCGGCCGGCAGAACAAGCAGATTTGCGGAGACCTCTTCCCAGACTGGGATCAGCAGCGGGCCGAAGCTTTCGCAGAGAAGAAAGAGGTTGCTCGGCAGCTCTCTGCAGCTCTCGGCAGCTTGTGCAGTCGTCTTGGCACCCTTAGCAACACTGCGATTGGCCCTGGGCGCCTAGGCCATGTTTAGAGACAGTGCGGCGAAGTTGTTGAAGCCGATGGCCGGTCTTTCTGTCGCACTCAGCGACTTCGTTGTTTTCATCTAAGCGGTTGCGCAAGCTTTTCAACCCGCCAGAGGTCTCGATCGAGTGCGTGCTTGGTGTGAGGAAAGCGGCCTCAAGAAGATCGCAGTCTCTTTGTCTGACTCTGTCATTTTCCTCTCGGCTAGCAGGAAAGACGTGGCAAGAGTTGCATGATACGATAGGAGTCTTGCAGCTGCTTAATCTTGAGCTGCTACCATTGGCAATCTCAGCCAAGGTCACAAATGCACCTCGTGTCAATGCTGAGTTCATCATGGATTGCATTGGCTACAGATCGTGGTTTCCAGAGCTGGTGATCGGCGACGAGTGTGAGCGTGGGAAACTCGAACTTCCAGAATTGGTACGGCATGTGATGAATGTGGCCTGGTAAAAGGAACATGGCCGGTGTTTACCTTGCGCTCCCTGCTGTCCAAGGAAACCAGACCCGTGCCCTTACGAGACTGCGATGAAGCGCTTGGGTGTCCGACCTGAGCGCTGCATAGCTTTCGAGGCGAGCTGAGACCGGACCTGGGCCGGGGACCCACGCATCCGCTGAAACTTCGCTGGAAGTTTGGGAGGACTCGCCGTCCGGAGCCAGATCCTCCGTGGCAGCTGGGGTCTACACCGTGGGAATCCTGTCGAGCCAGGACTGCCGCGCGCTGCGCTTTTCTTCTTTTTTTGGTGTATCGCAAGGTCCAGGTCCCAGGTAGCGTAGCCGCCGTAGCCGCAGTTCTCAGGATCCGGAGAAGCTCCGTGCTGCTGGTTGTGCCGAAGTGGTGCAGAGCTTCGATGATGAGCACCTGTGGCAGCTCCTGTCCCTTGCCTCATGCAGGATGCAGCAGCGAGTATTGACTGGGAGAAGTTCCACTCAGGCGGAAAGTGAAGCTTCCACGACCGGGGCAAGCAGACAGCTGAAGAGTATTGGTTTCACCCGTTGTTCGAATTGCCACTCAGGGAAAATCCATGTCCAGGCTTGACGGGCCATTGTGGGCCGCTGGTGTTAAAGCGAGGTCGATGCGGCCGACGAGCATACCCACGAGAATCGGCGGCTGGTTGTAGATCTGCTCTCTTCAGCCCAACTGCACTTCGAGCACGACGACGAGACAGATGTTGAAGTGGGTCTGGTGGCTTTGGTTGGGTTGGGGCTGGCTCTTCGGCACAGGCGGCAAAGGCTACTCTGGTCGACAGAGGATTTTTTTGTCATCCTCCGCCTCTGCAAGCCTTGGAACCAGACACTTGTAGTGTGTTGTCTTGTAGGGGCAGAGGTAGTTCGGATGCAAGCGGCAGCTCGAAACGTAATGCATGTGCAGGTGATCATGTCAGTGTCCTGTCTGGGCGCCAAAAAGGTGGTATCTTTGCCGGGCGGCTGGGTGGGACATCGTGTAAACCACGTAAGCCCCGCAAGCAATAGAGACCGAAGGCAACTTTGCAACTCTAGGGCTCTAGGCACTGCATTTTGAAATGTACGCTGCCAGGCAGTATCCGTGGTGTTCCCAGCCGTGTGCAAAGTGTAAAATGGCCTTTACGAAGTTCGGTGCATGACGAGGCCAGACCTTGTGAAGCATCTTCAAGACCATGGCATCTGTCGTCGCATCCTCTGTTTTCCGTCACACCAGTCGGGATCAGCTTGGAACACTTGGTCACACTTTGCCAGCACTGAGGCGTCGTAGTTGGCCACACGCCGCACGGCAACTGTCCAACTGTTATACCCCATGAAGGAGCTCTTCTTGGGAGCTTGCAGTGGCAGTTGCACGATGTTGAATCCGCGAGGAGTGTCCGTCATTATGGGTGACACCAGCTACAGCCAGAATCTCAGTGCTCAGCAGATGGAGACCCCTGTGAGCTCCTGTGTAGCAGGCTGCATGAAATCTGATCTTGCATATGCTGGAGACAATCGCGGAAGACTTAGCATTCTCCCAGAGAAGCTAGTTGCGCGCATCTTGATGACAGCCACGGTTCCTTGCGGATCCAAATTTACGGCCGATAAAGTTTATTGCAACCAAAGCGAGCATCTTGTTGTCCCCCATCAGGTGGCGATGCAGTCTGCGAGATCGCCGCGAGCCCAGCCATGGGTTCGCAGTGCAGAATCAACACGTTATGTCGCAAGGCCTTGGAAGGTGACAAGTGCTTCGTGCGGGGGCGCACTGGCTATGTGGACGGACTTAGCGACTTTTCTGCATCAGTTGCCGTCATGAATCAATCGCAACTCGCGGTCTTTTTAGAAGGGAGAGAGCCAGCGAAACACTCCGTCAGGCTGCCATCGGCAGGCCACCTGCAAAAGCATGCAGACCTGCGAGGGAGCAATTGCTTTCCTGTTCCATGCTGCATCATGTGACGACAGTTTTGTACGATGTCTGCTGTCCCAGTACAGGAGTGGTGCAGTGCTTTGAAGCAGACCCAATCCATCGGCAAGTACCCCTGTGGCAGGTTGTGCACTACGCAGCTCCTGGCGGCTGCGATGGTGGTGCCTGCCCTCGATGATCCGTAATCAGCTGTTTCGATTGTGCTAGGACTGCCAGGCAGCTAGGAACCTTGCCAGTCAAGCTTTATTCGAAGGTGGAGATCCTCACATAGGGATTGTGCAGCCGCAAAGCGAGGAGGCCGCTCCCTGTAGTGCTTAACCTCCGTGATGGTTTCGACATGGTCGAATGCGGGTTTGTTCGTTCTCGAGCCTAGCTTCAGCGCTACACAACTACTAATAATGGCGAGGCTGTGTTGGTTGAGTCAAGTCCAGTTTTCTGCAAAGGTGGCAGCTTCACATTGCAAGTTAGCAGAACTGATGCCTAGAAGCAAGTTGCGTTCCAGACCGGACGAGACTTTTTTTGCAAGTTTTGCCGAAGCTCGCCCAAGACCGCAGGAACATGCAAGTGCAGAATGATAGGCTTTCTGAATCCCGTGGGGGAATCTCTTCTGACCAGCGAAACTTGCTCTCTGTTGAACGGTTTGGTTCAACGTGTAGGGGCACCAGAAGAGAACGCGACGTTGCCCAAAAAGTCTTGCGGGGCGGAGTGCGGCAAAGTGTTCTCCACTCTACCAGCACACCCCGACTCTCTCAATTCGCATTGGTTGCTCGTTGCCCTTCCACAGCCCCGCAGCACAAAGCCCCCTGAGCCAAAAGGATAACTTGAAAGCCACAGGATCCATTTGCTGCAAGGATTGGCAAAGGCAAAAGGTTTGGAGTGAATGTATACAGCTAGATGTACGTACATGAGCCAAGACATAAATGAAGACATGAGTGAAGATATGTTTACGGTGTTTTCGAGCAAAAATTTGCTCAAAATGGCAGATGAAACCAAAACTAATCAACCATTCGTCAAAAACACCAAACCAGCCATCAAGCAAAAGCTTGAAAAGCGAAAGCTGGCAAAACACTAACATATTACAAACAAGCAACATCACAAACACGAGGAACAAGCAGCAAAGGTACTCAACATAACCAAACACAACAGAACAGCTGGCGAGATGGATAACAAGTTAGATCAGTATAACATCCACGTTAATATGCTTGTCAGACATTGGCATCTATAAATATCCGCTGGCACGCGTGCACATGAAACATATGTGTACAACATCTTTGACTCCGGAGCAATTGAACTCAAAGCTTTATCTTTGATATCAGCGGGTAAAATGCCACAAGCAAACAAGTACAACCGCGAGTCTAAGTCAGACATCCCGTGAGTCAACGGTATATATCTATCAGTATAAATCATCATACAAGAGCTGTGGCTTGGAATACCCGTACCCCATACAGGATGGAACTGTCCCAGACACAATGTATCAAACCAGTTTGTCCCTCTGAATATAGTTAGGAGTATACAGGGACATGCACGGGCAGGCATATAGGCTTCGTCCTGGTGAAAAAGGGATGCCAGTCAACATATAAATAAGAGCTGGGAGAACGGGCAGGAGATACTTACACATTCATATGTGTATGTCTGCATAAACTCATACATCTGTACGCCTGTCGGGGTGGTGTGTCTGTGTAGTACTGCATGGTGAAGTACTAAGTTCATAAACTAGCAGAATAAAGCCTTTTATAAGGTTCTATCGTATGATCGATTGTCATCATGAAAATCGCAAGGCAGGTCGTCAGAAGAACATTTCTGACATGCAGTGAGAAAGGCAAACACGACAACAAAGAAAACCGAACGCGACGAAATCTATACGCGCATGCGTCTTCGCGTAGCAACTAAGGGTTTCGGAAACTCGTTTCTTCCAGGTACCTTTCATGGCTGTGTGTTCCTTTCAGCATCAGACGTTGCTGTGTGTGTGTGTGTGTGTGTGCGTGTGTGCGACTGTGTGCGTTTGCGCACAAAAGAAGTTCGCTCGCACGAAAGCTGTGTTTGCGGTTCAAACCATGCACTATCATGTTGTATCATTTGTGTTGTAATTCAGTATTTCGTGCACTCTCAATGATTATCTCCCGCGATATTGTTTTGTTTTATCCCTCCATATCTCATATGAAGCTGTAGTTTTATGCTTTATCGTAGCAGCTTGCATCATGTGGCAGCATGCCTTAATTCTTGAAAACATGTCATATCATGGTTTAAAAGATCATACCATATGACAGCATACTATAACATACTCTAACATGTCAAAGCAAGTTGCAACACATAAGAGCACAATGTAGAATGTAGCACATCATAGCATGTCAAGCCTCAGCCATGTTATAACATGTCGGCATGTCAGAACATAGGAGAGCAAGAATGTGTTAGAACATATGATAACATTTCATCACAGAACATTATATGTGGCAGTGCAGGATACTATGGCATGTTATCACGTACCATGTCGTTACACAACAAAACATATCTTACAACATATTACAGCACATTTCATCATATCACGACGTGTTTCAATGTTTCACAACATACTAAAGCACACCGTAAGGTGCTAGAACATTTTACATGTCACAACACGTGGTAGCATATTACATACAACATACTGCATGTTAGCGGAGTTCACCGTTTTGGAATACATATTTTTTTGTTGTAGTGCACGTTAGATCTTGCCTCATCATGTCATGCTCTATTAAAGTATGTCTTTTCATTTGTGTAATAAATAAGGTTATGTTGTCTTAGAATTTATGATATTCTATTATGTGATTTTTATTTTAGCAAACTCTATTTCTTAATGGCAAACCATGCTATGTCATATCACGGTACCTTACATCTTGTCGAAGTATATTCTTTTATGTTAGTCTTTGTCCTGTCGAATTCTTTGCTATACTACACCAGACCGTAAGGTACTTTATGTTATGTGAACTTCTGTTTTACCATACTACAGTATGTGATATCATGTCATATACTGACATACTATACCATGTCAGATCATACCACACCATCTGGTATCATAGCGTATCATACCATATCGTACACTTTTAATTTTTTTGCGATGTGATAGCAACCATTTCATGTCATCTTCCATTGTCTCATGTTATGTGGTATTATCTTGCACAGTTTGTATTATGGTGCATGTCGTTGGTTGTGTTTTAACTGCACTAATTAGACTCTATTATAAGCTTTGTTTTATTGTACGTTACTGTGCTGCATCATGTGGGATCGTGTAACACTAAATCTTAAATCCCAATCATATTATTTCGTATTCAACTGTCCTTGTGTTGGTTTTCGTCATCCTATGTCTTTTCGGATTCATAATGTCTTCCATCATCTTGTGTTATCTTATGCTATCTCATGTTGGTTTATCCTATACTAAACTTCACTGTCTTGAATCATCCGTTATAACCTCGTACGGGTGTTGCCAATACTTCGAATATTGTGTGTTTCTACAACAACTTCCGCAAGGACGGTCCATTGCCATGTTTTTGGGACTAGGTTACGATAGGAAACCTCTTTTGTATCTTTGCTTATTATATCTAATTTCATTAAACATTGCACGGCAGACGAAGGTACCCGAAGACAAGCGCTTCTTTGTGAAGGCGTGCTTGGCAGCCTTGGAAGGTCCGGGCCAGAGTTCAGCAGAAAGTAGGTTTTCCAACTCACGGGATGCTGGCAGCTCCTTCACGAATTTTCCTTAGTGAGATTTCCATGCACAGACGAGGGTCGGGACCATGGGATGGGTCTTGCTCTCCAGTGTTGCCGCCGGCAGCGGGAAGAGTCAGGCTCTAGTGATATTGAAAGTTGTCAACGTTCGCGTTTCGCTTCTATTTCACTCTTTATCGGTCTTTTCTGTTTGGTCTAGCAATATTGGAACGACCTGATCACCTATCATGCTGTGTTGCATGAGACACTTTGGCAGGCATAGAGTGCTTGGGAGATGCGTCCATCTGTTGCTAAGGATATGATGCCAGATATCTCCTGTGCAAAGTGGATGGTTTTACCAACACATATCAGGCGAAGCATGGAGATGCCATTGAAAGGGTTCATTGCTTTCTTTACTCTGCCTGTGACGAAGGAGGAGTCTCCGGATGAGGTCATCCGAATATTTGGCAGTCTTGAGCCGAGCCGCCATTTTGCCATGCGAGCATTTCTTGCAGCTGTCCTGTTCCATTATACGATGAGGCCACTCCATCCTGCCGTCCAACAAAACAACTAGGCCGGAGATCGCTGCAAGAGTTTGGAATTCTTCGACATTCACGCCTTCGGCACTCAGGGAAGATATTACTTCCTTCGGTGAAGAATTTGGAGCCGGATTTTCTGGCTCTCACCTGAGCAGTCTTGAATTGGCTGCCCGGCCATGTTGAGCCTGGTCATGACATGATTTGTGGATGGAAACCAAGTGAAGCTCTGGGACAAGGTGCTGAAGGCGATGTGGTCGAGCGCATCTTTCGCAGGCCGTCACTTGCTGGTGCACGCAAGCTGAAATTTCTTGCGAGCACTCGCACACACACTTTCTCAAAGGATGATAGCACTCATGGTTGGCAATGAAACAAGATGATGATGTTGATGGTGATGATGATGATGATGATGATGATGAAAGCGAAGATGTGACGATATTTTGGTGCGCATGATGCCAGACACAACGAATGACGTAGCACGACATGAGATGAGGATGAATATGATATGATGCCCCCCAAGCTATCCGTGTAGGGATCCATGAGCGAGCAAAGCAGGTACGTTTTCATGGCTTGCAGGGGAAGGCTCCTCTACACCCTCTTCGTCGCCCTGCTTGAGACATGAACACGAAAAGAATCACCCCCATAGCCCATGAACGTGGGCAGTGAATCCACACACACACACACACACAGACACAGAAACACACAGATGCACGCGGGGACACACACAGACACAGAGACACACAGAGACACACAGAGACACACAGAGACACACAGAGACACACAGAGACACACAGAGACACACAGAGACACACAGAGACACACAGAGACACACAGAGACACACAGAGACACACAGACACACAGACACACAGACACACAGACACACAGACACACAGACACACAGACACACAGACACCCAAACACACAGACACACAGACACACAGACACACAGACACACAGACACACAGACACACACAGAGAGACAGCCAGCCAGCCAGGCAGGCAGGCCGGCAGACAGACAGACAGACAGACAGACCGACAGACGCGGACAGACGCAGACAGACGCAGACAGACGCAGACAGACGCAGACAGACGCACAGACAGACGCACAGACAGACACACAGAGAGACACAGAGAGAGACACAGACAGACACACAGACAGACACACAGACAGACACACAGACAGACACACAGACAGACATGCAGACAGACACACAGACAGACACACAGACAGACACACAGACAGACACACAGACAGACACACAGACAGACACAGAGACAGACACAGAGATAGACACAGACAGACACAGACAAACACAGACAGACAAAGACAGACACGGACAGACAGACAGACGGACAGACGCAGACAGACGCAGACAGACGCAGACACACAGACACACAGACACACAGACACCCAGAGACACAGAGACACAGAGACATAGACACACAGAGACACAGAGAGACACAGAGAGACACAGAGAGACACAGAGAGACACGGAGACACAGAGACAAAGAGAGACAGACTCACAGTCACAGACACACAGACGCACAGACTCATAGACACACAGACACACAGACACACAGACGCACAGACACACGCACACACAAGCACACAGAGACAAGCGCACACACACAGACACACACGCACAGAGACACACTTTCTTCAAGGATTGGCGCACTCGTGGTAGGATTTGTCTAGTTACAAACTGCTGAATGTTCTGCCTTGTTGTCAAATGCTTGTGTCACTGGATTGCCAAACATGAAAAAACCTGCATGCATGCTCAACATACCTGGCTGATGCAAAACTGTGGGTCTTGCGTCCTTCGGAGTTTCTCTCCAAACTTGCTGAGAAATGAGAAATCGAAAACGCAGCGAGGATAACCATACATAGCAAAGATGCTAGATGCTTTGCCACGTTCAGTATCATTTGCAGGTACACCAGAGTGGCCAACTCTGGCTTCCCACATCATTCACAGCTTTGTTGGAAGCGATGTGCCGCATCTCCCTGCTACAAAAAGACTTATGGAAACTGATTGTTGGTCGGTCCTGCATGTGCAAAGCCAACATGTGAACTGAGACCGTAGTGAATGCAAAACGATCGGAGAGTGACCTCCCTGGGCCATCAGCGAGGACCGCTCACATACACAAACAAAGACACAAAGACACAGATACACCGGCACACAGACACACAGACACACAGACACACAGACACACAGACACACAGACACACACACAGACACACAGACACACAGACACACAGACACACACGCACACACGCACACACGCACACACGCACACACGCACACGCGCAAAAGCTTGCTCTCTGGTCTGCCTCGTCCAGCGATTTTCATGCAAGCACAGGCGCATGAGTGCCCGCCCTCTGTCAATGCATAACCCGAAAGTGCACAGAAGGACGTCTGAAGTGTTTTGGAGTGTTTTGCCCGGGCACCTTAACCACTTGGTTTCAGATCTTCTCGTATCATGTTGGACAGGAAGCCTCAGGGATCTGGTAGATTCAGATCGCAGAGTTTAGGGTCCGGCTGTTAGTGTTTCGGGTCTGAGTTTCCGAGTGTCTGGTTTCTAATTTGCATCTGATGCAGGTCATGGTGACACTGAAAAATTCGACGGTCATGATTGGGTTTGGTAGAGCAGAATCTCCTCCTCAGCCAGGCTTGATCGAAATCATGATGGAGCAGTGACGGCGCATGAGCTTCGCACAGCCTGCATCGACAGCACCGCCACAGCCTGAGAATGCCGGAGCATGGGAAGACTTGCCTGTGGAAAGTAGTTTTCGAAGCCACAATTCTTCGACCTTTCAACTCCCGGAGGTTCGAGTAGCGCTCCAATGGACCTTCCCAGATACCTGCTTGGAGGAGCCCTGCTTCGATGTCCATGTGTGCATGGGGGTGAGCCCTCAGCTTGCCCCTCGAGGAAGTCTTCGCTGAGCTGGATGCCAATAGAGATGGAATGGCACTCGCCCTGGCGAAGCCTGACATTGAGTCTCGTCGGTTCGACACGAGGTAGCTTTGGTATGATCCACTAAGGTGTCCTTACATGAGTTTGAGACTCGATTCCGAGGGACAGCTGCTCGGATCTTGTTTGGACCATCGCATCAGCAATTCCACCTAGATTCTTGATATAGCATGATATAGCCTTCGCAGGCCGCAGTTCTGCCATCAGATATGCCCCGGATGAGGTTGTTGCAGCAGGCAGCCAGACCAACAGCCGCTGTACCAGCAGACAGTCTTCAATGGTATTGGCGGAATAGCGACTTAGTTGCACTGGAAGATCCACATAGAAAATCTTACAGTACTTCGTGTGTTTTGTTGGAGGACAGTCGTGGTGGTGCTTTCCAACGGTTCCGAAAAGATCTTTCGCCGCCTAGGGCAAACAGTAGTCATCCAAGTCTGCCTCCCATGTAACACACTGTATTGTTCGCACGGCAATCCGAGGCGCGCGGAAGACCTGCAGAGGGATGGATGTCGTGCTCTGCACAAACACGTACGTTGGACGTGGTGCCTGGTGCGCGGCAAAATTATCTTCATCTGCCGGAGTTTCACTGTATGATAGTGGCAGGTGTCCGGTACTTCGTTCGGCAATCCAATTTGTAGGGAGTCGCAGCGAGCGCTACAGCCGTATCCAACTGTGCTTAGAAGAAGTGCTGACTAGATAGATCCGGAAATTGCAGGTGATTTTGTGCATGAAAACTCATGCACATTTTTCCGCACTGCAACTTGCAACGTCATCGAGCGACGGAGGCAGCATCCTTCAAACTCTTGAGCTGGAGCTGACCAGTTGGCATCTTTCCAGCCTTGTGATTCAGGGAGTGCCGAGCTTGATGCTCCGTTTCACCGGTCTTTGCGGATTTTAGTGTTACACACTTTTAGGATGTGTATGTTGCTTACCAGCAGTCTAGTTAGAGGACCGCCTTTGCGCTTGTCGCGGGGAAATGCTCCTCAGGTTACAAAAGCTTGCTGCTCGCTGTAGGGGGGGAGTCATTGCGCATCGTGGTCGATGATGCCACTGTCTTCGAAGGAGGTGATCAAGTGGTTTGCCGACCGGGTTGATATGATCTTGGTCCTCTTCGATGTGTGGCCTAGCTTTGCAAGAAGCTAGTGTTGTTGGTGACAGCCTTTGAACCACTGGCAACTTGGACAAAACCTGCATATGAGGTCCAAGCTGGACATCTCCGACGAGTTTCGTCGTGTGCTGCTTGCTCTGAAAGGGAGCCTCGGCAATGCAAACCATGGGACCCGATTTACGTCCCATAGAGCGGATGCACTCATGCGCAGAGGAAGCCTCTAGAAAACTGACAGGAACGATCAGAAGATACACATCATTCTCAACAAGGCACAAGTCCCCACCCCTCTCAGTCTAGAACTCGCCGTGTTGCGGCTAACGAGAGAGGCCGATCAAGTGACGACGCCGCAGCTAATGCGCGTCTACGGGGCCAGGCCCTCGAGCTTTCACAGGGACGCAAAAAAACCCTCCAAGGATGGAGAGATGCCCTCATTGACTGTGTTTACGAGACTCGACAAATGCATCACTTGTGGTTCAAGGAACGGTGTGGGGACCCGTTATTCGGGAGCCTTTAACTCTGATTTCTGAGGGTGTCCATTCGAACTTGTGGGGACTTCGGTGCTCTGTTCATTGTGTTGGAGGAACCTCGATAGCTGCTCTCCTTTCAGCCTTTCTTGGGCTTCCTTTCGGCGGCTGGGAGCTGCTTCCCTCTTTCTACACCCCTCCTCCCTCGGATTCATCGCCTCTCCGAAACCAGGTATCAGGTGCCAGAACAACCTCCTGCTGGGCCGGCCAGGCTCTCCTTGCTTGGGCACACCCGTCAGTTGTCCTTGGAGCTAGCAGCTAGAAGGCCTCTGCTGTGCACTCCTATTTGGCTTAGGGGTGCCTCTAGGCCTAGTGGTAGCCCTAACCCGCCTACCTCAGGACCCGTGAGCTCTCGCCCATTCATTGAGGCGCGCTTTCCTTCCATCCCTGACTACCTTCTTGAGGAACATCAGGTCTTCTGTAACCACTCGGAGGGACCGGCCCTGCGAGCTTGGTCTGGCTGGTGGACAACTTGCAGGACTCGTATACCCTTTCACACGACACGGTTGCCGACTTCGCAGATCAGCTGGGGTCGAGAGTCGCCGAACCTTTTCCCGCTCGCCACGGCACTCGGCACTGGTGACTTTTGCAGGTTTATGGACGGCAGGCGTTGGACCGTGGCGCAGGCTACTACACTGCAGAGGAGCAAGGCCCTCCCGGACAGCCGCTAGGATGCAGACCCAAGCTCCCGATGCCAAGCACAGGACTACGGTTGCAATGTGCTCACCACTCAGGTCTTGCAAAGGCGAGTCCGGCCGCCAAACTACCGGCAAGCCGCGGGCAGGTCGCTGCTGTCAACCCTCCTCGTCCTGCATTCGCGGTACCTGTGTCAGCGGCAATTGCGGCATGTTCAGCAGTCCCATCAACTGTGCCAAACATTCTGGACGCCCGATCGAGACCTACCGCCTTTGGACGTGGATGGTTTGCCTTGTGCTGCTATCAAAGAAGGCGAGCCCGGCGGGGAATTTCAGATCGCGAGCGCCTCCCGAAAAGGGTCTGACGGTATTGTGGCTCAGCTGGCAGGGTCTTCAGACCCTATGAGCGACCTGGCGGCAGGAGGCGGTGGTTCTCTGTCCACCAAAGATCCGCCTTGCGTCTGCGACTGCAACTCAGTGCCAGCTAGGTCAGGTGCCTTTTTTGACAAGGTGTACGAGGCAGCAGTGAGGCGGATGGAGCCCACCATAGACTTGCAATCTCTCGCAGGTGGGACCCAATAGGTGGCGGTGAACTCCGGCGGCTTCGGGGATCACCGGACATGGGGCCTGGTCCAGTGGCAGCTGGGCCAGATTTTCGACTTGCTGACCACAGACCAGGTCGTTGGAGCAAAGGATGCGGTTACCCTATTCATGGTGATGATCAACCACTTGGTGCTCGACTCTGGGTCTCCTCGGGTGGATTCTCTCTCTTCAGGAGGATCCCCCACGGCCCCTCTTCAGCGCTCCTTCTGGCCGGGATCTTCCCTCAGGCCCTGCTCGCATCTTGCAGATCCAAAGTGCGTGGCCACATCGCTGGCTTTTGTGAAGGAGATGGAGACTCTGTCGAATCGCCGAGCCGAGGTGGCGAAGAAGCCTCCGCCGTCACCCCCGGATCCTCCAGGCGCAAAGGCCACCCAGCTCACGCGAAAGAAGCCGCTGGCCAAGCTTTGGCCGGCGCCGCCAAAGGCCCAGCACGAAGGCAAAAGCAGTGTGCTGCTCCTGCCAGAAAGGCTGATGCAGGAACCGTCACAGTCTCCGAGGTTTTGTGCCAGAGGCCCAGGTGCAGTGAAGCACAGAGCGGGGCGCTGATGAGGTTGCGTGCGCCAGGTTGAAGGCTGCCCCAAGCTCCTCAGGTTCTACAGGTGTGCCGGCTCTGTCGTGCCCCGCTCGGCTGGCAGCGTGCCCTGCCCGTACGACGTTAGCGTGCAATGCCTCGTCCTCGGGGTCTTCCTCAGGCCTAATCCTGCAACAACGTCATGCACTACGAACCCCAACCTTCCTTAAGAATTCACGAGTGCCCGAAGCAGCCCTTTTTGATGGAGCTGTCTCTCGCCAGGCTGGTTTTGGCCTCCAGGACTTCCTTTTCCGGTTTTGTCCGGGCCTCTCTTTCCCTTTGCCTGTTCCGAGCATAGGTTTGTTCGATGCTGGCATCCCGAAGGCTGGCCCCGGGCCTCGACAACAAGCACTTCAAGCACGATCTTGCACTCGAGCGAGTCTTTTACTGAACTATCCTCATGCTGATTTCAGGCATGTGCCAAACGACAGCCTTCGGAGGCAACCGACTGAGTTGCACCATAGTGTGTTCTGAGCAGGGGAGCCATTCCCTTTGCCCCGGCCGGCGAGGGCTTCACCTCGTAGCCAGGCTTTGCGAGCTCTCTTTGCATTTGCAGAGCCTAGGTCTCTCGTCTTTTCCACGAGGCGAGCCCTTCTCTGCCCCTGAGGCTCTTCGACCTTACCGGGACGCCGATCCCAGCCGAATGAAGTACCTACACCCGGAGCCTCGTCTGCCTTTCCTGAAGCCAAGACAAAGCCCAGTATGCCATCCCTGAGAGTGCCCGAGAAATCATTCGGCTGTTCGGAGCACGCAAGAACGAAGAGCATGACAGAATGATAGGTGATAAATGGGGCCCAAATGGCGCCGAGGGCCGTGTCTTAGGACCTTCGCGGTTTTTGCCACAAGGACACTTGTTGACTCAGCTGACACTGCCACCCGGGTGCACGTTGATCCGATCGTGCCGACGTTTATCGTCAAGCTAAGATATCTTTGAGCAAGGCGTCGGACGACGATGATCCCGCCTCGTTTCCAGGCATCGCCTCTGCCCCGCGTGCTTCGTGTGACTTCTTCTGCACTTCGAGAAATGTATGCCTTTGGGTTGCAAGCCTCATAGGGCCCTTTGCCATCCTACGTTCTTGGCGAGCTTCTTGAGCTTTTGCCGGCCAACGACAGGAAGGGCTGTGAAGGATGCGACTCAGCAAGTACTGGACGACTGCGGTCTATGTGCATGGCTGTGCCACCTTCCCACTTTGCCTCCGCCCTAGTCTGTCGCTGTGTGAGAGCTGTTGCGAAGGGCTTTCCCTTCAACAGTGTTGCACTCCTTGAGTTCCCCCCATCGGGACATTAGCAACCATCGCGGCCACTTGGGTCGAGAGCAGCGCAGGCACTGTGCCTGAAGTGATAGACGGTGTATGGAGTACGGTCAAACCGGGGATGTAGCCAGCGGCCCTGTGGTCTTCAACGGACACAACTTGCATCGCACTGCCTTGCGAAGGTACCAGCATAGATGTCGCCTTTTCCATCAGAGACGTACACCTCCTCAGTCACAGAGATCGCAGGCGAGCGACTGAGCTAGGCTTACTCGTTCCACGCTCCAACAGCTCCTTCCGCGCAAAGGGCTATGCCGGTTGTGTCAGGGAGTTCGACGCAACTCTGGGATACCCTGGAGATGGTTATGGATTTCCTCTAGCCCTTTTCCTCCTTGGCATCCTTCTCCTGGGCAGGCCTGTCCTCCTCCCTCGCAATGCTGCGGACGCAGCGAGAGCGGCTAAGACGTATCCTTCTGGTTTGCGTTCATGGAGGGTTGTTCTTCCGAGGACCGGGTCTAGCAGGGCCGAGCCGATCTAGCCGCAGCCTTTTCCTCACGGCTTTTGGAAGTCGGTGGCTTCAGTCTGGAAGACCTACTGTGCGCCCAGCCCTTTGACCCAGAATTGATTGCTGAGTGGATGGTGATGTATGGCCGGGATCTGTATGGCTCAGGCAGGCCCTACTATCATTTTGCTGAGACCATAAACGCAATTACAGCTTTGAAGCCAATCATGAGGAGACAGATTGGACCTCTCGCATCATACGGCAGTCCCGCCCGTCATCCTTATATCTTTGCTGGCAGCATGTCTGACGTGGGGTTGGACAAGGGAGGCTGGCTGCTTCGCTTTGGCTTTTGGAGGGGTCATGCGTGTCGGTGACGCTTTCCCCGCAGACTTTGCGAAAGCGTCTCGACACTTTGTTGGAGCTCGACACTTTGTTGGAGCGAATCGGAGCCACCCCCTGTTCGAAAGGGACCAGGCAGCCAGACCCGGGAACCTTTTGGGCAGGGGGGGCGACCTACTTCAACTGACAGAAGACTCTGAGCTTGAGCGAAGGCGAGGGCGGTGGGCTTAGTCCAAGGTCATGGAAGTTTTTCTTCAAGAAGTTTCAGCGGCGTTATACCTGCCCTCGCTGCAACGAGAGCAGAAGACTCGGATAGCGACGATAATCCGATAGCCGCAGGATTTGCCATCCTGCTACAGCAAGCTGTCCAGTGGCATCGGCTCGGAGTAACTAGCAGTGTTTGCTACAGATTGTGGCCAGGTGATTCTTCTACACACGGTTGGTAAGCACGGGAGATTTGGGCACAGTTGTTTTCTCCTCGGCTGATGGACATTCCAGCCTCGACCGTGTGCAGAATCCTTGATGCAAAAACAGAGAGCCGAGTCACTGACTGTAGTGACGAGGCTCGACAGATGTTTCACTTGTGGTTCAAGGAACCCGTCCTCCCATCCCTGGGTGCAGTTTTTTCTCCTCGGCTGATACACATTCCAGCTTCGACCGTGTGCAGAATCCTTGATGCAAAAACAGAGGGCCGAGTCACTGACTGTAGTGACGAGACTCGACAGATGCATCACTTGTGGTTCAAGGAACCCCCCATCCCATCCCGGGTACAGGTTTTTTCTCCTCGGCTGATGCACATTCCAGCCTCGACCGTGTGCAGGAACCTTGATGCAAAGACAGAGAGCCGAGTCACTGACAAGCTTCGCTGCTCTAAGTCCTTAACGTCTAGTCTTGTGGAAGTTCGGGTTTGGACTTGCTGACAACGTTCTGCACCCAACCAAGACTTAGGCGCTCATGTGGTCCTTGGGAAAGGTGATTGCTGCCACCTGAGTTCGCACAAGCAGAACACAGTTCGGGAGACCTCTGCGGTGCATCCGATCACGAGGACACCCCGGAAGTGTCCCGTGTTTACATTGGGTCCTACTGGGTCCGGCTCTCGTTCGGCTTATCGGTGCTCTGCCACCCCAAAACAAGATCAGGCTTGCCGACTGTAACCGTTCTGAGGACGGAGCGCTGCGAAACGTAGAGATGAGAAGTCTTTTCGAGTCAGAAGAGTCGACTACTTACGATCGGAATCTGAATCTTGTTGTCCTTTCCGGAGCCAAAAAACGCATTCGGCTTTTCTGCTCCAAGGAATGACCTTTACACCGCCTTATCACAGATGCCCCGCGGTGCAGCAACGAGAAAGCTGAACGATTTGATCAAGCGGGCGAGATTGGCCCGGGCTGACGCCTTGGAAGCGAAGCTCGAAGCATCGTGCAGGGTGCTCGGCTGCTCGATCCGCTGAGTGCAGTGCTGCCAGGTGTTGGCCTTCTTGTTGAACCACCTCAGGAGTAAACCCGATCCCGCCACAAAACCTGTTACCGGTGAAACAACAGTGTCTCGCAGGAACAAAATGCCATCCTTCATGGGCAAGAGCAAGGATCTTTGCATCCATTCCCAGGGTGCGTGTGTGGGGGACAAGTCGACAGAAGGAAACTCAGATGTGCCATTTGGCTACTCTTGTAACAGGAGCAGAAGAAGCTCATAGACAACCTCACCAACGTTTATGGGGAGATCGCGAAGGCCGGGGCGAGAGTTGATCTTTGCGGCAAGTGTCCCCGCAGAGTTCTGGGAATGCCATCACCATCTACTCTATCCCGGTTTGACTCAGGAGCGCGGCTTGGCAATGGGCGACTTTCCCGACCCAACCATGATGCGGGAACGCGGGCTTGCGCTCGCGGGCTTGCGCTCACGCGCTTGCGCTCGCGCGCTTCTAGTGTGCCACGCTGCCTGTGCAGAGGAGAAGCTGGAGAAGATGGATTTTACCAAGTTTCCAAAGCTTGACAAGAAGAAAATGGACAACTTGGAGGCCGGTGCTTATGACCTCCGAAGACGCTGCGGCTCTTGGCTTTGTCGCTGCAGGCCATGATTCACGAGGAGCTACCTCAGCTCCTAAAGATGACATCAGAGGAGGCCTTTCCGGCTGTTCTTCGGTTGACCCATTTCGTAGGTGGAAGGGGAAATGATCGCTACTTGGGCCTCTCCATGAAGCTCGAAGTTCCATTCAAATCCACCTTGTCCCTCAGCAAACCCAAGACCAGTTCTCCAGCCAGTCGGGCCAACATGGTGAGGAGGGAAAGGCCTTACTGGAGGATCGTCTATCCGCGGAGTGACGCCAACCGAGTGGCTCGAAGCGGCCATCGAAGTCATGCTGTGGGGCGCACCCGGCACAAACGGGGCTGGGAAGTCTTTGGGAAAGCGAATGCCAAGAAGTGAAGGCAAGTTCGAGAAGGGTGGTTCAGAACAAAGGTTGTCTCAGGGGGGCCCAGCTCTGGAATTCCTGGCAGGCCGCTGCAGCTCAGGCTGCGGAGGTGGTGCCTAGCCTCCAGCAGAATCAGGAAAGGCTCTGGACCGGCTGTCGATCGCTTTCGCTGAGGCACAGCTATCGGTTGGTGCTTCACCTTTCGCTGTGATGAAGGTGTGGTGATTCTTGTGTTTCTCAATCCCTTGCAGCTTTTATCTGTCATACTAAGTGGCTGTACGTCACTGCACCAGCCTGTACACCATCGCATTGATCAGGTGGATGGGCAAAGCGAACAGAGTGTCTACCAAAATCAGTCAGGGGCCTTCTTCAGTCGTTCGTGTGTCGTGTCTCCGAACCCGGACACTGCGAGGCTTTTGCTTTAGCGGTCGCTCTTGCTGAGGTGGCTCGTATTTCCAACTGTCTCATGCTTAGCGTGGTTGCATGTGCCGGGCGAGCAGCAAATCTTGCCTGCATACGTCTTGCAATTCACAACGCCGCCTTAGGCAGAGAAATTTGTACTTCTTGCTTATGTGTCTGCATCGTCTTCAAACCGTCGTGATGGCGGCTCGTGATGGCGACCCCGAGGTTGAGGACTATGCGCAAGAGTTTGAGTCCATTGGCAGCTTGGCGAAAGGCGAAAGCTTGCGCTGGGCCGCAAAGCCGCTCGGCTACAAAGGCTCGTTGAGATTCTTGCACAGAGGTCCCAATGCTGCTGGGAAGATCTCGGGCTCGCAGGACGGGTTTCTCCGAGAAGACTCACCTGTAGCAGTGCAGTAGAGTGGCGAGCGTTCATGCTAGATCCATGCTCGTGCAGGCGAAGGTCAAGTTGGAGGAGAGCAAGCTTCCGTCAAAGGTCCTGCACGCCATCTGGAACCTTTCCGACGTGGACAAGGACTCTCGGAAGGTGGTTGAGAAATTGTTTCGTTTGTCGTGTGTGTCGTGGCCTTCGAGTGTCGTGAGGTTGCGCAGGGATAAAACGCAAAAAGTGCGAAACAACACTGCAGTGGGTTTTTCGTAGAAGACCCCAGGCTTTCAAGTCCAACCCAAGTTGGCAAACGCTCGGTACCGTAGATCAGGGTTTAGGGTTTGGGGGTTTAGGGTTTCGGGATTCAGGGTTTTGGGGTTTATGAGTTTAGGGTTTAAGAGTTTTACGGTTCCACTGTTGCTTTTTTTTGGTAGTACAAGTCCTCGTACTATTGTTTCTATTTTTACTTCTACTAGTCTTACTTGGCACGAGCGAAGGATGGCTTCTTGTCTTTGTCTGAGTTTGCCCTCGCCCAGCATTTCATCAAGATGAAGCTGGCCGGGCAGGACCAAGTCTGAAAACCCTGGCCCTGCTTCGTTTTGCCATCCTTTCCAAAGGCCCCAACAGCACTGGAACCAGGATCTCCCTGCTTCGCTTCCGCCACAGATGGCTCCACCACCTGAGGCCAATCGGGCCTAGTGATCGTGATGAAGCGGAAGAGGACAAACTTAGCAAGTGCACTCCCAGACATGTTGGGAGTGGACTCGTTTCGTCGAAGTTTAGTGCGTCTTGAAGATCTATCCACGCATGTACAGGGACCACAGCTTCACGCAGAAAAGCTGGTGTTAGCGAGTCTTGAATTCAGAATTGCCCGTTTGATTTGTCCGTGCTCAGTCTAAAGTTCGATGATTTGCAATATGCACGGGTTCAACCCACTGAATTCATTCACGACGTTGGAGCATATGTTGGCCAATTGGTGGAGCACAGTATGCCTGAAGACCCACGCGAGATACTCCCACCACGGTGCTAAGCCCGGATCATCTCGGACGACAGACTCCCAGAACAAGCTTCCCGCAGCTGGTGTCAAGTAGACTTCTCGACCGAATCTTTGCATCCACAGTCTGGGGTATGATAGCTGAAGTAGCTCACACATTTCCTGATGGATTTGAGATCTGAGCGATGTGCGGAGGCAAGATGTCGTCAGGGTTTTGGCCGTTTCCTGGAACTGAGCTCTCGTGTGTGTGTGTGTGTGGGTCTGTGTCTGTGAGCCTTGATTCCAAGCTAAAGCCTTCTGGAAGCCGTGTTTCTACCGACAGCAGGGGGGTAATGATTCTTTTGGTGTGCATTGCCCAACGAAGACCGCACCATCAGAATGTGATATCAAGAGAGGACACTCTTTTGACGTACCTGCAAGTGCAATTATGCCGAGGGTCAAAAGAGCTACTGAGGTTCAGATGGAATGGAAATAGTAGGCAGAAGCTAATGGGCAAATTGGATGGACCCATTTCTCCGTGTGTGTGTGTGTGTTTGTGCGTGTACGTTTCTGTCACAGGTCCTGCCGCCTGCTTCACATCAACAACGATGTCATAGTGCGGCTTGACTTGCGAGGCATTGGAACAGATGGCGGTGACGAGACCGTGGTGGTTCTGTTCTACTGCTACCAAGGACGGCCGTAATCACACTCCAGACTGCAGTGCAGCGCGTGGCAACCGTGTTGATGTTTGGTTAAGACTTCAATTCGGTGGACAGTCTGTCTTTGGTATCAGGCCTCGGTGCAGAGGGTGCTGCACAATTGGCTGAGGAGACGGGGCCACAGAATGGCAACCAGCCCTTCCATGCCCAGTGTTTGCACCTCCGCATGGCCGAAGCATGTCTCCGTCATCTTCTGCGCAGCATTTGCAGCCGGCTGAAGCAGATTTTCCTTGCATTACGCCTTTCGCCGCCGGCTTCGAAGGCCTCATGTGTAAGTGCCGCCCTCAGTGGAGAGCACGCGCAGATATCGAATGACTGCCAAGGTCAAGTGGTCGCAAGATTTGTGTCCGAGGTCAGAAACCTACGTGCTCGACAGCAGCTTTGATCCAGCTGCTTTCGTGGCAGATGTCAAGGAAGCGAAGGCCTGCAGCCAACCGAACCTTGAGCGTCTTCTTTCGAGTGTTTGAAGTGTGCTTAGGCAGCAGTGGGAGATGCCACAGAAGAAGATGCGCGACACTTGCAAGGTTTGGTGCTGACCTCGCAGGTGCTCCGCTGGAACGGGTGGAAAATGTCATAAAATCAAAGGGGACAGGAAAGACTGCAACACACAAAGCGCCGCCCAGCTTTCGATGGTGACGGCACACTGAGGTTCTGCTCTATGGTGGATTCTTGCTTGCAGATATGATGGCTTCCATTGCAATGCAGATTCATGAGAGCGTGATGCAAGCAATGTGGAGATGATGACTGGCCATATGCACTAGAAGACGCTAGAATCAACCAAATGGAACTCTGTTGCATGCCAGGTCCGGTTTCCCACCAAAGTCCAATGCAGTTCGTGCATAATGCACTGGCCTGTGCCGTTTGGAAACAGACAGTTCGCTACACCGCATGAGCGGCGGAGGCATTTTTTGGTTCGCAGTTCCACACGCCCACCTCCACCACTTCTCTCAGAGTCGTTGGTTTGTCTGAGGTCTGCAAACTGGTGTACTCTGGTAGCATTCTCAGCTTTCCTCCTCCTACTCTGCCTTCTCTCTCCTTTTCCTCTACCTTCCGCTTTCTTTGTACGGTGCTCTAGGCGCAGCAAACCTCGGCACTTGTACATGCATGCGGAAGCAGCGCCGCGGTGCTTGTTCCAAGCAATATGCATGCAGGTCATGCGATGCTGCTTGTGGGTGCCGCTCTTCCACACTTCTCCTGGCTTGTTCTGGCTGTAGGCCTTCGCTATGGGCTCTCAGCTGGATGCATCCGTGCAATTTTGTTGTGCGTGGCGTTGATGGTCTGTAAGTGTCTACAAGCTGTCTAAGAGTCTAAGGGACGACAGGCCTACGTGCCCTCCGCGTGCAGCATCGTTCGAGAGCGCTGGGTCATGCTTCGCAGCTGCGCAGGTGCACTGATGATTTCCTTCGCCCGTTGCATGAAGTGGACCATCATCGGTCATCACGTTTCGCATGGAGGTTCCTGGGTGCACGCATGATGAGAAGGTTAACTAAAGATCAGTACCGGCGACTGGTAGTGACAGAGTCGCCACCATCCGTATGTCCAGTCGGAATGAGCACTGCCGCAGGCTTCGATAAGCTTCAGAAGACGCATCCCAACGCCCTGCCATCGCACTACAAGCGTCCCAGCTGAAACTCATCGAGGGCAGGCACTTCGTGTTGCAGTGAGGATCTCGGGAAGTCTGACTTTACTAGGCGTGGTGTTTTTGCGATTGGTATCCGCCGCTTTATCGATTGGATGGACTGGATGATGCCACAGGCTTGGGAGACTCAGATGTGAATTACTAGTAAATCTTTTTTTGCTTGGGACTGGCATTATAGATTTCAGAATCAAAGGCTTGAAGAAAGGTGCTGCCCTGTGCAGCATGTTCGTCGTGCGCCAAGACAGAGCACATGAACAATAGGTAGCCGCAGAGACTAAGACAGCGAGCGAAGGTAAAGCTACTGAGATATCACCCCAGCTGTGTTCTCGAAATGACGGGTCACTGATGGCACGACTGACTTCAGACATGAGTTTGAGGATCGGCTAAAGTCAGCTTTAGAGGCTTCATTGCCGACACACCAGTGATAAGCAGGCACGTTCGGCGGAAAACCCCAATGAAAAATGAAATGGATCCCGACCCAACGCAGCAACAAACCCAGCAATGAAGCATAAACTAGCAAATCTACATTCAGCCGCTTGCACGCCAGTACAGGCTGGCCCTTGAAGGCTTGAAATTGGACTGTGGATTCTTGCTGTGAGTTTGAAGTTGATGATGCTCGAGCTAGATGGGCCTGCTCATTGCACACCACAGAGTTCTGATGTGTGGATGTCATCATTTGTATTGCCAGTGCAAACATCTCAGGACGTGGAGCACAACAAGGCCAGAAGTACACAGCTTGATTCAGCCTTTCGGCCGATACAAGCAAGACCAGTCTGGTGAGGCCCATCACTACTACCTTTCGGAGGAGAAGGATCCAGACCTTGTCGAGCACAATTTCGAGATTCTCCGGAACATGCCGCTTCCATCGGTGGGGGCCGTGGGGGGGCGGTGGCAATGTTTGCTTCTGCTAACTCGGGGCTCGGGCCTCGGGGCTTCGGGGCCCAGCACTCTGCCGACAAAGACGCTACACCAACTGCGGCACACATCTTGAATTGTAGGATGCTCAACTCTGCAAGCCTCAGCTATAAGCCTGAAGAGAAGTGGGTTTCAGAACCGAGGTTTCGGCGCTATGCTTGGTAAAGATGTAGGAAATCCGAAGTTGATGGGACCGTGTTGCTTTTGTTTCTCCACTTTCAAGACTCCAGCACCCAGACAGAGAAAAGAGTGGACCATTGCTGAGAGTGTCGAAACAGTTGCACATCTTGGCAGGCCCTGAAGTACGTTTCGATGATCATGTGGGTCTTCACCTGGAAGTTCACCTACTACTCTCCCAACACATTCAAGGACGGCATTGCATCGACAATTGCACCCGCCCGGGCGATCAGGCTTTGTTCTGGTCGTTTTTCGTACAACAGGAGCTGATGAATTCGAAGCGAGAAAGCTGGCTGGCGCAAAACTGGCCAGCTGATGACAAGAAGACCGATCCGGCCAGCAGCTCAGATTCACCTCGATACAATTGATGACAGGGAATAGTAGAAGTTGTATGTGGAAAAGGTATCCCAAATGCAGCCATCGACTAAGTCTGACTAATTGTCAGCAAGTTTTGTCCGTCTTCGGAATCCTGTTGAATGCGCATGCTGGATCAAGTTACTATGCAGCCGGCCTGTCTTGAATGAAATCCTTGGGCTGTGGTAGCGTTCTGGATTTGCGCCCTGTAGCTTGACGACGACCTGCCAGCTCTCGCCCTGGTTCTGCTGCTGTTCCCTATGATGACATGAGAGGCATCCATGCCTGACTCACTTGCGTGTCCACCGTCTCAACCCCGTCCGAAGCAACAAGAGATTGTGTCCGTATGTCCTTGTATCCTATTTAGTGACATGCCATTTGCATGCTTGGCTTCGTCATCTGCTGTGATACTGCGAGATCTTTTCCGAGGTTGTTGTTTTCGACTGGGTCAAGCGACCACTTCAGGCAAACGCCAGAGTGTCATTGTTTTCTGCAGTGTTTGAATACCACTGCATGGTTTGTAGAATGTCGGTCTGATAGCAGGCGCTGGCATTCGGAAACGTCAAGAAAGCAGTCTTCTGGATGGTCTTCTTTGTCCAGTGGCCACATCCCCAGCGACCCTGTCATGTCCACGGCTTGTAGGCGCTTTGAGCACATTGCACTGGGTGGATGGGCGCTGCCTTCAAGGTTTGGCGTGATTACGCCCATGCTGGCCACAGTGGCACTTCCAGCAGTTGTGGCCTCAGCCGGGCCGTGTAGGAGTCGGCTCCATTTCGAGTGTGCCCGGACAAACTGTACATCTTGTTTGTGTGGGATGGAGCAGTTGACGAAGTCCGTGTTCAAAAGCTATTGAAAATCCATCAGGTGTTGCATCGGTAAGCTGGGACAATTGCTGATCAAGATGCCCACATCGTCTCCACACGTATCTGCATGGTCCTACATGGCGACCATTTCAGACTCATGACAAGTAAGCCGTAGGCTCATAGACGACTCCAGCTGTGCTCAGCTGTGGCCGCTACTTCTTGGGCAAGCCGGACTCTGGCCTAGCTCTATCACCGCGGACCAGGCAAGTGTGCCAGAATTGCAGAGACACTCACTGACCTTTTTGCAAATCCAAGGTCAGGTCAAGTCGTTCAAACTCGCGCCTAAAGTTTACAGACAGACGGCATACGTTCATGCAGCATGCATGAGAGGCCGCTCTGCGGGTGTTGATGACATCCGTGGTGGCCGACCTATTTTCCAACGCGCATTCCTTTGTAACCCGGTCGCAGAGTGTGCAGGTTAGTCTTTCGTCCGTCGCTACACTGGGTCTCGCTGTTGGCCTGCAAAGACAGTAGACTCAGCAGACCCTCTCGGGTCATCCGTTGTCATTCACGAGGATCGGAGCATGTTGTCGACGCTGTTGTGAGGCCAGTTGCCGACTTGCCGATCACCTGAGGTCATAATTGCTTGCAATCACTCTGGTGGCGACCTGTATCGCTACTCCACATCTTGCAAGGACTGTCTCGGGATCTCAAGCGACCTCAAGGGTTCCTTGAGCCGGTAGTGCGAGGTGAAGAGTAGGCCAGTGCAAGACTGAATCGAATGAAGTCAAAAGCAGGGATGCAGGACGTGAAGGCAACATGCAGAGAGAGAGAGAGAGAGAGTAATTGAAAGTCGGGGCGAGGCCGTAGTGGCTCTGAGTGGAAGACTCGCAGAGTGCCAAGAGCAGCAACCGGGGCGAGCAACAGTAATTAACAGGTCGAGGTTTGTGTTTACCTAGTATGCTCAGCCCGTGGAGAGCCCGAACCACCTTTTGCACGTAACACCGTTCACACCGTCAACAGACGGGCAGCTTCCGCGGGGACTCGAACTCAAGCCTGGGGAAAGCAAGAGAGTAATTGCGTAAACATGTTGAGCGAAACGAGGAACACGGCCTTGCTGACATGTTTAGTCACAGTTTCACGCCGCAAAAGCAAGCGAGCTAGAGAGAGATCGAGCCACAGCGATTGGTTTATTGTGGGTCTTCAAGAACAGGCATCCTCAAAGATTCTTGTATCCTATGTAGGACAATGTGGGGCATATTATAAGCGAGACCAGTAGAGGGACTCGTGCTGAGGACATTAGACCGGAAGATTCCGGTCTCAGGTCAGATCATGTGTGAAATCGTGGAATCTTCACCTGGAGAGGCTTACTCCGCAGAGTTTCTCTTGCGTTGCACCTACTCCTCCGCCAACTTTGAGACTGGCAACGCAGCCTTGACGCATTTAGTGTACTCTCCGGGAGTTGAGCGTGCTTCGTTGATTTGTTTGCTTTGCACTGCTCGGGTATGCATGGTTTCACAGCTAGCAGTGCAATCCTCTCCGGAGATGGAGAAACCTGACTGTGATGCACCAGCTCCAATTACAGCTGTGCAAATGTAGAGCTTCGTAGATCGGCTGCGACGTCAATGCAGCGCACGGCCGCGAGAGCAGAGCACGAGCAGCACGAGGGAGGGCCGGGACCAAGAGAAGGCGAGGCGGCCATATGGATCCCCGAGAGCGGAGAAGGAACTTCCTTGTGAGTGTGAGGACGAAGCACGAGCCGGGGCAGGCTAGGATGGGCTTATAGCTCCCCTGTGTGGCAGCCTGCCATGCACCAATAAGGCTTCTATGCTCCTAGTGATGCTTTCTTCCACGTGTCTCGAATACGGCTGCATGTCACTCAGGACTTGATTGATACGGTCTACGGCTGGCTCAACTATCAGGCACTTTCAGTGACCCGCATCATGATGCATCTTGTGCAGTCACGACTTGGTTCAGGTGGAGCATCACATGTTCCCAGATATGACTCCGCTCCAGTGCCGCACAACACAGAGCCGCACATGCGATGGCTTTCGACCCCCTCAGTCTCTTTGTTTACAGCGGTCTAACACAGGTACCGGAAGCTCCAACCACTTGTGAAAAGCCGCTTGCCTATGAATCAGGAGTTCGAAGTGCTTTGAAGTCGTCTGCTGCTGGAGTTGTGATGCGCGGCAATGCGGCTAATGCATCAGGCATCTGCAAGAAGCACAACGTCCAATATGTGCAGATGAACGCACTTCGACGCACGTGGATGATGTTTCAAGTGGCAGTGCCTCGGTTGCGAATCCGGAAGCCCCGCAAGCGGCAGCTTCCAGCAGTTCGTCGTAATCCGAAGTAGGGTTCACACCACCGTCTGGCATGGCATCCAGCATCGTTAGGTTGGAGATGCAGAGATGAAACGATGCACAGCTGCCAAACTGCAAGTTTGCCTTGAGACAAGCTCATCACATCCTTCCACACGTCGTAGGATGCCTTTGAACCCTGCTGTGGTCCAGGCCTTGGTCCCTCCTCAGGCCTACAAGGACTCTGTCGGGCCGCTTGGAGACAAAAGCGGGGGGTCTTTTGAGGTTTTCAAGTAACCCTGGCCTGGGCTGCCCTGCGTGTTTTGTGACACAGTCAAGTCAAAAGCCGAGGGCTGAGGGCCGCAGCCTCGGTTTCAGCTTGGGCGCGTGAAGGTGTCCGGAATTCTCCGCAATTGCAACTGCAAAGTGTTTATCGCTGTTGTCGATTTCTTTCCAAATGCGCCCGAACCTTCTGCGCTTCAAAGGACTCCAGTCCACCGTCATGGGCGGCTGATGTCAAGAGCCAGCTGCGCATTAGCATGCTGTGATAGCTTGACTCCCACCTGGCAAGCAAGGGGTTCCCAGGGACCGAAGATGTTGGCTACTGCCATCATTTTCCGCTAAACCCATGGTGCACGAGCATATCTCTGCATGTGTGTATGTCCTGTCTTGACGCAGACACTACCGATTGGCCGTTCGGAATCACCTTGTGTCTGTCTCCCAGCTAAGACTGAATGCATGCATCAAGGGGTGCCGCACACTTTTTTCAGCATGCTTGCCGGGCAATAGGATCATGCCGTAAGCTATCCCAGCTATGCAGTCTGATGGCATTGGTAAAGTTTGGCACTTGAAGTGGGCACCGATGGCACCACATTTCAACAGTAGTTTTTTGTCCATATACTTGTGATGGCTTGGTGGTTTCTTGTTCTGGAGTCTCTTGTGACATGTGTGCTGACGGTGAAGCACAAGAGCTTGTGATTTGACATCTTGCGAGTGCCTGCTTCAATACTCCGCATGCAATGGCACACATAGATGCACTGAGTGCAGTATGTGTGGTACGTCTGCAAATTCTAGCGATTTTCGTGGCGAAAGCAAGCGGTGGCACCAAAGCCACCGCCTGGCTGCCCGCCACTAATTCTAAAATCTTTGAATTGCCAGATCAAACTGGCGCTCGGCCTGCAAGTCATTCTGGTCATGACCACCAGGGGGCTGCAGATTTTCAGAGACGAATGCTGCAGACCTGAGCACTCAAATCCTTCCCGTGCTTTAGCTTATTCGGTGGTGAAAGCTTCCGCGATCCCAAGAGAGCGGAAATCGGCAGCCGCGGTGAAGCAAATTACGCTTCACTCTTCGCAAGGCTGGTCTTCCGTCTCTCGCCCTGCCGGCCTGAACTTCAGAAGTCCAGAGACGAAGTGCGAGGGCCGGCAGGTCCCTGTAAAATCGCTGTGAGCTTTCGGAGTCATGCCGCCATGCCAGACAGAGCGTTCACCAAACGGATCATAACAAGTAGCAGGCATGATGTCCAAGCTCATGTTTTGCTGCATGCTTGGCATGACGCCCCATGAGATTCTTCTACTTCTGCGACGCCTGTGCTTACCCAGAAGCGTGCACTCCATTTTTTGCAGAGATCTGCGGCCATGTGGCCTCAAAAGAAGCCACGACTATCTGTGCTGAGAGTATCGAAGCGCACTGTTCGGAGCCCAAGGCAGCAGCGACTTGGAGCAGAGCACGCGTCTGAGCACCAGAACGCACCAGAGATGATGTCCGATGTCACTGTCTGTCGGTCTGTGAGAGCTTGGAAAGGTTCCTTTGTCCAGCACGTCAAACTTCTGCGATGCAGGCACGGCATGCGTAAATCCTCGTCACTGCAAGGCTGAGACTCTCTGGCCGCGTTTTGGTGGCCTTGGAGGCACTGCATTTTGTTCTCGTACGCTGATTGGCGAATAAAAATTTGCTAGAGTCGGCGATGGCTGCTTTGAGGGGCCACTTCTGGCTCATATGGTTGGTTCTGTGCCATGCGTTGAACGGCGTGTTTCCTTTTCGGTTCGATCTACACTACTGCGATTTCCGATGCCATTCCCGGTGACCGATCCATGTCATGAGACAGCTGGATAAAGGTCCACAGCAGGGAACTTGTTCGAGGGTTTAGGGAACTCCAAACGCCGCAGCCTTCGCTTCATTTGTGATGCGTACCACCTGAAACGTTGCCAGACGACTCTGTTGTGTAGTAAAATTGAGGATGCAGCACCATGCGATGCATCTCGGGACCTTGCCAGGGCATCAACGGCACAGTCCAGGGGGGTTCAGCTGCAGTGACGGCTTACGAGGCGTGGTGGCTGAGGTTTTCGTGACATTTCACAGCACAGTGTGGAGTGGAGGCTCCTGTGATTTAGAGAGATTTAGGGATGGACTGTTGAGACGACTCGAGGTTGCGGTTCAACGCTTCTTCAACACCCGGATCGACTGGAAGAGGACTGATTAGCACTCCGTCACTTGAGAAAATCTTGAGAGCCACAGTTTGAGGTTGTTGGAGGGCAGTGCAGCTGCTTTGCAGTAGCTGGTGCCTAGATTCTACCTAGATGTGTGCTCTGCTGTCCCATGTTTTCCGGTCTGGAAAGCTTGCTTGGTAGCATCCAGAGCTGCAGTTCCAACTTCTTTGAAATTTCGAGCCCATTCCAGGAGTGCTGCGTGTCAGCCTTAGCCCTGTTGAGTGTTGAAGTTACATCAGTGAGTTGGGCTTTGAAAATGGTTTCGTCCCGTGTCTGGTCTGCTGCCGAAGTCATGCACTTCATTCTCTGAACCATGCCGCAATGAAAAGACGCCACCAAAGTTTTTTGCATTGGCAAGGTTGTTACACATGGTCAGTCTCGAAACGAACATGCGGACAGAGGAGGCATCCATCACGCAACTGGAGGGGTGCCGCTGAGGATCACTGAGTTTACCATCTGGGAAAGTGGTATGACGCGGACAATCCGCAGCGGAGGGTTTCTGCCTGGGGCCTTGGTCGTGATGTCCGGTGACGTGCAGCTCCGCTCCTGGGCGGGTGTCCAGCTCCACAGAGTGTATGTACATAGGACTCCTGCTGAATAGTGGTGAGTGCTTACTCAGAGTGTTTTCTTAGGGGCGCTAGTAACAAAAGGTCTACAGCATGCATTTCCTCAGTTTCGAAAACTAGGAAGTTTTTGCTCATGAGGGCCGCTGCGACGTCGGTGCAAAAGCACGGCCAGAAGAGAAGGAGTTTTCGCGGGCGTATCCGGCCAGAACAAGCAAAAAGTAAAACCTGAGTTATGTCAAATCCTGAACCGCCGATTCGTCGCATGTGGACCGCAACATGTTCTGTGTCGAGAAATCTCCCCATTTCGAGTTAGCGCGATAATCAGATGGCGCCTATTCCCAGCATAAGAAGGCCAGAAGTGAAGTGCCATCCGGCACACGTGAGTTGACTTGGCCAGCCATGAGTAAGCATCACGTCACTTCTGGATGCCAAAGGTCAGAGCAAAATCTTTTCCCTGACTTCGTGGTCAAACAGGCCTGGCGAACCTGTCAAACGCCATTGCGAGAAATTTGGACTGCGATGTTCGAGTGGCCAAAAGTGATGCACTGGAAGCTGCAAGGTGTCCGAACTTGTTGGCTTCGGGCTTCAAGAGGCTAAGCCCTTGGATGTTCATGCCGAGGCTACGCAGTGAATCACTGCAGTGTGGTTTGTGATTGTGCTATTGTGGATCTGGCAGGGCGGGACGCACCTGTCACCGGAAGAGTGCGACCGGCCATGTCATTCGCCGTAAAACTACGGCGCAAACGCCTCAGCCACGGCCCTGGCCTGGCAGGTTCCATTCGCGACTCCTTCAAAATTCGGAGGAGTGCATGGCTCAGATGCGGCGGCACCGTCAAGTGCCACACTTTGTCCGATGGAGTGTGCTGGCTATTGGAAAGACGAAGCTAATCAGTGCAGTTTATGTGATTGTTTTTTCACGTCCGGTTGCATGGGTTTCATGCACAGGTTGCGGATCATTGATGTGCGGAACACGTTCGAGTGCCCGTGGGTGAAAACGACAACAGCTGCTCCTTGAACTGAATGGCCGGCATCGAGCGCGATGTGCGGAACAACACCAGGTACGATGTGGGCCATTTTGACGGGGCCATCGATCCGGGGATGACGTCACGGCCTGAGGCCATGACCGCCAGTGCCAGTCCACCCGGAGCTCGCGTCATTAGCTTTCATCAGGCACACAGCTCAATGGCCCCGATACGTAAAGGACAACATACAGGCACGGCTTTATATGATAAGACTTGGCTCTTCGGTCAACTTCATGCCTCCACTGTAGCCTGACAGGATCTGCGGGGTCGCACTGTGATGCTGTACTGTCACGGCCTTTCAATGAGACATGTGGTGATCATTGGTCGAACAGCTCCACAGGATCTCCCACTGATGCCGAGGTACAGGAGGCATTCGGTGCGAAAAGGTTGTCCACCCAGCTGTTCACAAAGCGTGTAGGATCGTTTGCTTGTGCCTCTGATTGTCTGTGTTGTGAACAGGTTGGGCTTTGCTGTTCTGCATGACTGTATCGTCATGTAGGCATCCGCCTACCTGCGACGCCGGCTCAACGACCTGGGCGACAGTTCCACTCCTGTGTGCGCCACTTCCCTGCGAGCTTCCTTGTTGTTACGGAAAGCTCGGACTGAAGCCTCGGAAGGTTTCAACTCGAGGGTGGTATCCACCGTTACCTGGAGGCCCGAAACCTTTCGCGCAGCTCTAGTGCCCAGTGATCTGTGTTTGTGTCTGGTCAGCGAGGCGTTTCCAGATGGTGGCCACTTTCAAGGAGCGAACTTTGTGTTCGACAAGAGAGCGCAGATGCGCTCGGTGCCCTGCCACCACTTTGGGGCATGCCTGCAAGCGGCAAATCCCAACCTTTCCAATGATACAGGTCCTTTCGGTCATGTTGGTATTGAAGCGATCTCGCTGTTGTTGTGTATCGATAGCTGCAAGAAGGACCTCGGGTTCCTGATTCCCTTTTGCCCTGCGGAGTATGACTTCGCCGCACGGATATGGCAGGCGAGCACTTCTGTGGTTGGGCGCTGCTCAGAGTGCTCTTCTGCCTGGGTTGCTGTCTCAGACGATCTCAGACATCAGAGAGCGAGACTTCTGATGCGAGGCATGATGTCGCAAAAATGAGCAGCTTCTCGATGATTATCGGTTGTTGTCGAATCACAAATGCATATGCTGGGTTCAAGAAGACTGATTTTCTCGGCAGGCGTGACTTGTGTAAGAAGATCGAAGTATCTCGAGAGTTCCAGTCGAAACAACCCTCGAACGATGTTGTGGCCGAATGCTTGCTGCAAGACACCTCCGATCCAGACTTTGTTGTGGTCCCAGCAATCCCAAACCTTGCTGCCACGAGCATGGCTGCGCATCATGCCATGGGTTTTTACTCAGCATCCTGCCTTTCTCTTCTGCATACGACATGGCTGCTGGAAGTACAAAATAGAAGGGTTTTAGATTGCACAGCTTAGCAGGTCCGAGAGCTAATTCGCGACATCGTTCGACCGGATGGGTCGACGGCATGTGGCCAAGGATACCCACCATGGTGGCAGGGTTTGTGCCGTCTGCCTGGGCCCCAACTGCTGGTTGTTGGGCCACGGACATGGCAGATGATACGGCGAGTTCCGTTTATGTGGCGTGTTGTAAGGCCGCGCATTGGTCCTGGTCTGCGATGCTTGCGATGCGACTAGTAGTGGTGAGTGCGCCGTTCGGAGCGGCCATGTCACTCTATGTATCGCTCAGATCGCATCAAGCTCTAGCGGCCATGTCTCGGCTTACAAAAGATGCAGGTTTTTGAGTGCCATGGATGCTCACAGATTGCCGCATCGAACCAGTCTCCAGCAGAGCAGGTACTGGTGCCCGGAGCACTCCGAGATGAAAGGCCTCGCAGATCATGTCTGCACCAGACAATCAGGGAAAAATACCGACACCACAACATTCAAAGGCCGTGCTCCGGTGCTTTGCTCCAGGCAGATCACTGAAAGGAACCTTGTAGAGGTGGAACTACCTTCAAAGGACGATCACCCTTTCCTGCCGCCTCCTTTCCTCTCTTTTCCCGTTGCTTTTCCTACCCCCCACTCCCTCCTTCTGCTCTCTCGCTCTCTCTGCATGTGATGTGGAGCTTCCGCCGTGATGTGCACTTTGTGTTGATGCGATGTGCGACTTGGGTTCCTTAGTCGAACCGCCACACCAGTCTGAGCAGGGCGGCAGTGACCTTCACGGGCCCTGGGCACATACACCAGACTGTACGGCTCCAGCAGTCGCAGCTGCAGCACCAGCAGCAACAACACTCCTTCATTAATTCGGATGCTGCCGCTCCGAAGACACGGCATAGCCTGAGTGGTGGTGAAGTCTGCAAAGAAGGCAACATTTTTTCGGTCAATAGCTGAACGGCAGAGTGTATCTTCAAGCTGAGACAGCGACCTGTTTATTTTGTTGGACGCTGAGCGAGCGGGCTCTGCTCATACCGGGCGAGTTGTATCAGCCCTGGCACCAGACTGTGCAGGGACGAGCTTGGAGAAAGCAAAAGAAGCCAATCGCAGTTGAGAATCAGTAGAACGAACAAAATCCCAATAAATTCAAGCAGTTGGAAGTGCGATCGAATCACTGTGCATTACCTGCTACTCTTCTGTAACGGAGGTGTTGGCAAGGTTGCCGAATTGCAAATCCTGCCGATCTAACTTGTAGTTACGGCTGTAGCTAAGGCCTCACTCAGTAGGGTGAGACAGCTTCCGACAACCTCAGTATGAGCTCTTGCATCCAACGCTCATGAACCAGATTCTGGTGGGTCGTACTCAAGAGCCGGGTTTCAGAGTGACAGTGTAGTGGCGTTCCACACTTGGTCACTCCCAGAATCTGGCGATGGGCCGTAATCGCATCGTGTCGCGCCCCAACGACCACAGCTTCCGAGTGCGCAGACCTGACTGATCGCAGGCGCAGTGATCGGTCTGAACTCCACGGCGACAGGAAAGCAGTAGCCGAGATAGGTTGTTTTGTCGGCTGGCAGCCAAGTGCGAGGCAATTGTCCTTCCTGGGAAGGAAAGGTAGCTTCAATGTAGCTAACGCTCGAACCTGCTGTAATGATGCAAATGTATGCAAGTGATGCAAGGGCTGCCACAAGTGGGCCGAGCGATTAGCTAAGTGAAACCAGTGCGAAGAGGGGCGCACACCTCAAAAGGTGAACCGTTGGCTCACTTGTGGAGACGGGCGGTGCCCTTTGAAGTCAGGACGGTGCCCTGCTCGGGTGATGCTTTCAGCTAGTTACGCCAGCGGCCCTCCTGCCAGTGGCGTTTGTAGGAGGATCGCAGGTCAGAGTTCCACGACCGGTCCCACTCGTCATCTCCCCTGTCTTCACGGTCATCTTGCTGCCAGTGCCATTGACGATCCCTCCGGGGCCCTTCGCCAGTTTGCAAGCGGCGGACTGCTCGGTTGGTGTCCTTCTCGTGTGAACTTAAGGGTGGCAGTCTCGTTGCCACGGGCGTATTGGATCACACACCTGGTCGGGTTGTGGCTTTTGATCGCCGCTGCATCGTAGATGGTCTGGAAGGCCATGGCGAACAGCTGGAAGTCCCGGCAGTTCAGCAGGGACCGCTTGATGCCGTGCTGAAGAACAGCATGGAGGCCACCAACCCAGGCCGTGGGCTTGGGAGGATGGTTTCTTCCTCGCGGACGATCTGGTCATTGGGGCCGCACGTGGGCGAAGTGGCAATGGTGATTGTGCCATCATCCGCCACCACGGCCCGTCCAGTGAGCAGGATCTGCCAAGCTACTCCTCCCCGTACTGCATCAGTCTGGGGGATGTCATCCAGGATCCACAGAAGCTTGGCGAGCGTAGCCATCTTGGCCCGCCAGATCTGCGCAAATTGGTTCAGCTCTCAAAACCCCGAGGATCTCCAGTGCGACCAGAGGGCGGTACCCGTGACCCAGGTTCATCTCTGTTTCCTGTGAATTGGCGGTGACGGTCCTATGCGTGCCAGTGTCTGCACGAGGCTTTCGGCGATCATATTCAGTTTGTGAAGCATGGTGCCAGGTGCGGCTCCCTCCAGTTGTGCGGAGGTAGTGTGCCTGGATCCCATTGTCTGTGGGGAACGCCACCATCTTATTGGAGTTCCGGCCCGGCAGAAAGTGCACGCTAGGTACTCCCCGGCCTCGTTGATACACAGGCCTTTGGGCATCCACCATTGCATGGGAGATAGTATTTCGGCCATTGCTCCACCAGGGACAAGACGCGATCAACCAAGTCGGTCCGTCGGGTGCGGGCTGGCCAAAAGGCTGTTGTGCTAAATTCCTGTTTGTGAGAAAAAGTTGGTCCTTGGGCAGTCCTAGACCCAGACTGGTGAGGTAGCCTCCTCGTCTAAGGCGCCCACTCCACGCCAGAGTACCTTGTTGATGGAATGCTACTGCTGCTGCATGGAAAGACTGGCCCTGTGTGGCAACGGTGGTGTCCCTTCGTAAACTTTCGTGTTTTATTTTCTTGTTGTTTGTTTGCTGAAACAAGCACAGCAGCCGGGCAAAACCCGCAGGTTCTGCGAGGGTAACTGCGCGTGCTGCGTCCTCGGACCGACGCTCAGGTGCAGTTTTGCGCTCCACGGGCTGAGTCCACCGCCATGAAGCAAGATTTGCTGAGCTTTTGGCAAATTGCTGCGTTGCAAGACTGCCAGCTATGGGGTCGTTACTAGCTGCTTTGTTTAACCTAGTTTGGCGAGTCAAGTTTCTTCTTTTCTGTTTTCTAGGCCTAGCTTGGTCAGTTTGGGTGTTGGCCTGATAAAATTTGCCCCATAGCTGGCCATTCATGAGCATTTGCCATCATTAGCCCGATGCCCGCCAAGGTGCGGGACTACTTGCACGAGCGTCTTAATGAAATGCTACTGCTACTGCTACTGCTATTGCTACTGCTACTGCTACTGCTCCCGCTCCCGCTCCCGCTCCTGCTCCTGCTCCTGCTGCTGCTCCTGCTCCTGCTGCCTGCTACTGCTACTGCGACCACTTTCACCCGCACCACCACTGCTACTGCTGCTGCTGCTACTACCACCACTACTGCTGTGCTACTGATACAACTGATACTACTACTGCAACGACCGGTACCACGATTACCACCACACCACCACACCACCACACCACCACGCCACCACACCACCACACCACCACACCACCACACCACCACACCACCACACCACCACACCACCACACCACCACACCACCACACCACCGCACCACCGCACCACCGCACCACCGCACCACCGCACCACCTCACCACCGCACCACCGCACCACCGCACCACCGCACCACCGCACCACCGCACCACCACACCACCACACCACCACACCACCACCTCCACCACCTCCACCACCTCCACCACCTCCACCACCTCCACCACCTCCACCACCTCCACCACCTCCACCACCTCCACCACCTCCACCACCTCCACCACCTCCACCACCTCCATCACCCCCACCACTGCTACTACTGCTACCACTGCTAGTATACTGCTACTACTGCAACTACTGCTACTAGTGCTTCTGCTGCTCGGCTGCGGCTGCGGCGAGCACGATTGTCTAGCATTAGCATCATTATTGTTGTTATCATTACTACGACGACGAAGACGACGGCTTCCACCTCTACTACCACTGCCATCACTATCCTATTCAAGTGTTCCAAGCGATCAGTTCAATGAAGTCTCCTTCTTCCGTCGCTGATCCTTCCTGGATACGCCGTGGCATAGTGTGATTAAACTCACTTTTGGTCAGTTTCTGTGTTGTTGCAGCAGTTTGATCGTCGTAGATTTGTCAGTTGCAGGTATCTACCACCACTTTCTGGACCGATTCACTGTGCGCTTCCCGTTCGAAACTTCGCTCCGTGCGCCTTTTCTGGAGTAGTCCACGGTTTGCCGAGGCAGAAGAGCTGCAGTTGCAAGCTGGTGCACTTCAGTCTTGCCTTGCAAAAGAGGCCAGCTTTGCACGCCATGCATGTCTTCCTTGACTACAATTTCTGCACTGGGGCGTGGCTTGCACACAGTCTCTTCCCGTGCCTATGAATGCTCCACTGTTGAATTCCCCGCGGCTAACTGCTGGTGTGCAGTGTATGACCGTTCAGTCGGTAACACACGGGATACACTGATGACTTGCGGCATCTCTCTGCACTGTTGCCGGTTCTTGCTGCGTGTTCACAGAATTTTCCATCTGCACGTTTAGTGAGTTTAGTGTGGCATATTGGTCAATGTGTGTTGGGGCTACTCATCATACAGTTTACAATGTTACGATGTTGATGACCCGAGGTGGGCACTCGCAAAAAGAATCGGCGGAACACGCTCCGAAAGAAGCTGACACAGGCAGAGATTGCCAAGTGATTATGGCATGAACGAGTTATAGATGCCATGGAAGCTGCCCTTCGCTGATCAGGTGGAGGCACGGCTTGCAGTCTTGACTCGTTCCGGGGTGCGGTGCCCAGCTTGAAGATGGCCGCTGGAAAAGCGCTGGCACCAATGCAACGAGTGAAAAATGCCTGCGCTCTGCAGGCCTGTCCGGGTCCTCCTATTCGTCGGTGCCGAGCGTGCGAAAGGCCAGTGATTGTCTCTGGACTTGTTGGAGACCCAAGTGAAAGTGCCACACTTTGCTCACGGGCGCGGAGTCCGAGCTGCTGTCTCATACTATCTAGTTCTGGAATGTCTCCCGATGCTGTCTCCTCCATCCTCAGCAATGGGATCCCAACCTTCCGCAAGGCCATACTCCGAGTGCCCTGGTTCTTGCTGGGGCTTCTGGCTGTTATCTCAGCTTTCTTTTGAAGCGCCGGGTACAGTACGACTTGTGCCGTGCATGCGTGTCCGCGTGAACTTGCACCAGGCGGCGCACTGAACCCGAATAGTCGGTGCGGGGTCGAAGCGGAGCAATGCCGGCCCCGCGTTTGCTCTTGCAGTTTTGCGAAACAAGAAGGGCAGACCGCCGGTGCTTTCAGGGACGTCGGGACAAAGAAGCACTCTTGCCGGGTTTCTTTTTCAACTGCAGGCATCCTCTGCAGCATGTTGAATGCAACGGTTCCCAACGGCCTGAAGCAGTTCGAAGAAGTTTCTTCTAGATTTCATCTCATAAAGCCCATAATTAAGCAGTTTTGGAGCTTATTGTAATGGGTTCTGATTCCTAAAATAGTCTCAAGGGCTCCCTGGCCCCTGACAGACAAAGAACCCACCTGGAACTCCAAGCCATTCGCAGCAGGAAGAGCTTGCGAAGAATTGGCCGCAGAAATCCACGCCTTCTACGAAGCCCGGGTCCCGAAGTATATGCATGGCGACGCTGCTTAGTACGGCACGTGCTGCCAGGATGAAGACGCTTTCGACTCCGATGACAGCCAGAACGAGGCGCGGATCCTGAAGTGTGTGCATGGCGACCAACGCCGTTTAGCGCAACACGTACTGCTAGGATGATGACACTCTCCACGACAGCAAGAACGAAGCCTGGATCCTGAAGAGCGTGCATGACGATGCCGTTGAGCAGTTGAGCACAAGGCGTACTGCCAGGATGCAGACGACGTTTGCGAAAATGAAGAGGACTGCAACAAAGTCCTGCAGGCCTCGACTTTAGACGGTGCCATGAATGCATCCGTAGCACAGTGTCCGTGACAAGAAAACTAGGTGGCGCCGGTCGGCGCAGGTGTAGACAGTAGGCGTGTTTTGCACCAGTCTGTAAGCTTTGCTGTCATCTGAAGTTGCTCCAGATCCCGAGAGTTGCGCAAGTCTGAAGTTGCTCCAGATCGCGAGAGTTGCTGAGGGATCATGCGTAATTTGTTGGACTGTGGCGCGTACACGCGCGTGTAGTCTCCGCCACTTCTGCGACTTTTTCGGGGTGGGGTGGGGTGGGGGGGGGGGATGATTCCGTGCTTTTGGACTTCTGCAAGCCCAAAACGCCCCAGCTCGACTGTCTCCATCCAAACCCGAAGCACGTTATCCTGCTTGGCACATGGATGTTCTGCAGGAATGGCTGGAGTCTGATGTGGACGTTATCCTGCTGGGATGGAGTCTGATCTGGACGTGTTCATGCTTGGCACATGGATGCGCTGCGGGAATGGATGGAGTCTGATCTGGACGTTATCCTGCTGGGATGGAGTCTGATCTGGACGGTATCATGCTTGGCACATGGATGTTCTGCAGGAATGGCTGGAGTTTGATCTGGACCTTATCCTGCTGGGCTGGAGTCTGATCTGGACGCTATGGCGAAGCATGCCCGACGGGGCGACGAGCATGCCAGACGACGAAAAGGCCACTTTCCGTAACAACTACTTGCGATCAAGTACTCAAACAGCCTGCCCCCAAATGTAGGAAAAGGTTGCCCGATCTGCTGAAAACCCACCCCTGCCGATGTATTCTGCACGTCCATCACCCAGTTCAATGCGAGCAAGTAGTCAAATAGCCTCCCCCTAAAATAGGCATGCGTTGCCGGAAATGCTGAAAACCCACCCCTGCCGATGTTTTCTGCACGTCCATGACCCTTTTCAATGCGAGCAAGTAGTCAAACAGCCTCCCCCCTAAAATAGGCATGCCTTGCCCGACATGCTCAAAACCCACCCCTGCCGATGTTTTCTGCACGCACGTCGTTGAGAACATGCCTTTTGTACCACGCGCGGGAATGCGCCACGAACCAATTTGTTTGCTTTGCTGGTGCTCCCTGTGCTGCTGGTGGCCGTCCGCAACAAAGCGACGGTGGCTACTTGCTGGCACGAAGCGTTTATTGTTGTGATTGCGTGCGTGAGTGGTGATTGCTGGTGGTCAAAAAAAGCTCAGGACGATGCAAGGGAGGACTACATGAAGAAGCGCTTGTCTGACCAGAAGGACCGGCCGAACAGTGCGCGCGTGATTCTGTTTGCAGAGTGCGGCTCCAATTCAGGAGACGCCAAAAATGCTAACAGACAGGCCGACAAACAAGAAGAAGCAAAAGAAGCTGAAGGCCAAAGTGAAAGGCCCGCCCCCCTGTTACACTTGATGGCTTCCTTCGGCTCCAGGTGGCTTGTGGTAAGCCATATTGGGTGTCTTTCTTCGCACGGTTAGCGTGCCGAGTAGCTTGCAGAGGGCCTGTTTCGCTTCCGTCGTGGCTGCGGGTTGTGAATCTTCTTGAAATCTTCCACCTAGAGTTTTGACAATGGCTCATATTGAACAGTCGCCAACCAAGGGGGTATGCCCAACATGGTCCAAAAGTCTTCTGTGGAACTGCAGATGAACGACGTTTCACGAAGTCTTTTCGAGCAGCTTGCCACTTCTGGGTCAAGCCTCGCAAGACTAGACCTGTTTGGCTCTAGAAGACGTGGTGAATAGACCGGATGCTTGCTGGAAGACTGGAGGATTCTGCAACAGGCGTTGGCCCGCCATATCCGAATTTCACATCCCGGAGACCGCGTGACTCAGTAGCGAAATAGTTCGAGTGCCTGCGCGAAATGGCGGACTACTACGACATCCTCGGCCTTGAGAGAGTGAACACGTCGCAGGCCTGTCAGATTTCGTAAGCGCGTTTTTGATTCCAGAATGACATGCATGTTCGGCAGGCTGACATCAAGAAAGCGCGACTTGCCAGCACGAAGCATGCGACTTTCTGAAACTGATTCGCCTGCTTCTCCTGCTATGGCAGGTATGCACGAGCATCCCTGAAGTTCCACCCAGACAAACAGAAGGACCAAAGCCAGGAGCCTTGTATGTTGGTTTTGGAAATTTCTGTGGCATGGAATATCACGGGTGAAACCTTGTAGTGTAGGATGGCAGCTACCCCTTGCAGGAAAGTATCGCCCAGGCAAGTGTTGCCTTTGCAAAGCTCTCCGAGCCCGGACCCTGGGCAGCATCATGAATCTTGAATGTTGTCGGCGGGTGGTTAGTTGGGTTTTTGCACGCACTGCTCTGTTCGAGGCGTACCGCGTTCTGAGCGAACCCGCCACAAGGCGCCTTGACTTCACCTGGAACCAAAGGCGCTGCAGACTTCTTCATCTCGAGGCAAGCATACGACAAAGGCGGCGAACTGGCGGTGAGGCATGTCTATCCTTGGATCTTTCCACTGGACGCCGTGAACACATGAAGGACGCTTTTGGCCCGCGCTGATTCCAAGGCATGCCGTCATAACTCATAACTATCAATGTAAAACTTGCAGCAATCGCAGCAAACAGGGTTCTTGCCCATGTCGAACAGGTAGCCCGATCTGCGCAGCACAAGCTGAAGCAGGCAGGCTCAGTATAGGCTCAGGTGAACGACGTGAGTCTGATGATTGTTGCATGTTAGTACAATATGAGCTTGATCCATTTTAGCCGACCCAGTCCGATTTTCGGCACACCTCGTGCAAGCCAGTTTAGCGTTGTGTTAAATTTCCATAGCGTGCATACACTGTGGGAAGCTTTGCACACGACTGCACGGGTCCATGTCAACCGACTTGCGTATGTGCGCGCGGCATGCAGGAGCGGCTGCAGAAAGCTGCCGACAAGCGGGCAAAGACCCAGTCTTGCAGGGCGGGGAGCTCGTCCAGACTCCCTCAATTGGTTTTGCTCTTCGAGCGCCCCAGTAGCTGCCGATGAGGAGCACAAGCAGCAAAAAAGAGACGACAAGCGAAAGCGGCAGGCGCAGGGGACCGATATTGCTAAGAGTGCATTGCCGCGTTATTTGCAGGCGAGTTGGGGCAGCACGTAGTTCCTGTTTTTTTCCGGGTAAGGCGCTTCCACTTCAACATGCTGATTCGGAAGTTCCCAAACTGCACACGAGCTGTATAGTCTGCAAGATGGGTTTATTCAGATTCAGCAGCGCTTACTTTATCGTTCGCTGTTGTTTCAGGTACCTCCGCGAGGGTTGTATTTCAACTGTTGAAGAGCGTTTCAAAACTGAACAACGACCAACCTGCTCCGCGTTGAGATCTAATGAGGGCCAACCGAAAGCCAAAAAAGGCACGATACCCTCAGGCGGACCTTGTTTCACGTTTATGTACCGGGGCGCGTGGGGCCGAACTTCAGTGTCACAGATCCAATCCCGGAGTCTCCCAAGTTTGGAGCTTCAGGAAGCTCAGGAACCTTATTGAGCGTCAACGACTGGCCATGAAGTGTGAAGTCTGGAGCTGGAGTAGCAAACACTGAGTCAGATCTTGTGCAGTCCTTCAGGGCTCGGGATCTTTAGGCAGGGGTGCTGGAAGTGGCCCCTGATCACATTGACGGCGCTGCCAGGCTGAATCCGCGCGCTACCATGCTGAGGAGAAGCGGGCACGGCCAGTTATTCATAATCTATTTGCCGTGATACTTGCTTGCTGCGTCGCTGCTTGATGCCGCTGTGCAAACTGGTCTTCGTAATTACATTCAATTATTTTGAATGGAGAGTGGGAGGCAATGAAGCCCTTGTGTGTGAAGCCAACCTTAGTTTAGGCCAGGCGGTCAGAATCGTGTGTGCAGCCACCTCATGGAGCATTCCCAGTGATGAATTTATCGGGTTTGCCATGGTTTGCCTATTGTGGTGGGGGGTGATTGATTTGGGCGGCGCCGCCGCGTGCAGTAGCTGAGCAGCTGGAGGTTACCCAACTTCCCCGTTGTATTCAGTATATCCAGTCTGCCCAATATGTCCCAAATAAGCTGCGCAGTAGTACGTATGCAAGCAGAGGCGCAGGCCACAGAGGGCCAAAGCCTGGACGAAAGCGAATTCGACAAGTGAGTTCCCCCCATTCCGCTCCCTGATGGGTGGTTCCCCGTACACGAGTCTAAGTGGCGATGTAAGTGGAACTGCCCCAGGGCCCTTTGTCACCTTTTTACTCACATTGGAACTTGCTGAATTCTGAGGCGGGGCCTAGAGCGCTCGGTGTCGGTGCTTTTTGATAACTGCGAACAAACTTCAACCAAGAAGAGTGGACAGTTATCCCTAAGGAAACCTGGCCGCAAAGAGATTGCCAGAGTGCTGCATTGGCCGGCCTAGCTCGAAGATTGGCCCCCATGTAACGAAGGCAACAAGACTAAGCCAGATTTTAGGCCTCAGCCCAAACATAAAGCCCAACGATGCCCCCAAGCTCAAACCTTAAAGGGCTTCAATCAAGCCCTCAACCTGATGAGCTGTTGGCACTGTCGCAGCTGCAAGCTTCAGCCCTCGGACAAAGAGCCTGCAAAGGACAGGGTATTAAGATCTGATGCGTCCACTTGGATGTTCGTGGACCCAAGTTAGAAGTTGGGAGCTCAGGATTTATATGGGTTGAGGGTGTAAGGTTTATGGAAATGCGGCATTGATACGTATACCGCGCAAAGCACCGACAAAACAACCTCAGGGAAGGCTGCAAATTGGAGGGCTTGCGCACCATCATCGCGGGCATGACCTTAAATCTAAACCCCAAATATTCAAGGGCTTCGGTTTTGGTGTAGTACTTACCCAACATTCGCCAGCAATAATTGCCCTGAAGGAGCAGATGACGAAGGATGAGATCAAGGAGGAGACACCCCAGGACATGGGTTTTCGCGATCCGGGGAGCTGTTCAAATGACGAGTGCCTGGCAGGCTGCACAGCCGAACCCAGCAGAAGAGGAATTCTGCCTGCTCCGCTGAGAACTCGGATTCGTTCTGCGGCATTCAATCTGCCCAAGCCACCTAAACCCCAAAACTTGCACAAGTCCAAAAACCCCAAGCCCATCTAGGCTGGTTCGGCTACTCGTACTTTTTTTGCTGCACCGGCTGGGCACTCAGAAGAATGCTGCACGCTTTCGGCAATACGTCCCGCCAAGCCCTGAACCTTGAACCCCAACGCCTAAACTAAAAAAACATTAGGATGTTGGATTCGGGGCACGAGTGCCCGCCTGATCGTAGCAGCAGTTTATGAATAAGTTTGGGCTGGCATCCATAAAACTTATTAGGCTTTACGAATAGCGAAGACCATTGGGAAAGGGCGATTATGTGTTCAGATTGTTTTTTCAATAAGAAGGCTCTCAAAGGCATTTCTGGCGTTACGCGAGCAAAAATTGCAACTAGACTGCATGAAGAAGGGCTACGGCGGCTATGCCCTGTGAGGCCCTATGTCCCACGCACTTATGACATGTTCGTCTGTGTTTCCATGCTTGCCAATCTGCGTTCCTGACTCCCAGCCTGCAAAGCACGCGCGCTCGCACGCCTGTGCGCAGGGACTCGCAAAGGCCAAAGAAGATGGTGCTGAGAAGCCGGTGATAAGGTCACAGACTTACAGTGTAATAGCCGCAGAAGAGGCCGTTTGCCTCACACCTGTGTCCACTATATGTTCACTTCGCAGCTCGGCACAGCTTTTCGAAGGGTGCAGCGATGTCTTGGTGGGCCTTCTACATGTTGGCTACCTGCATTGGGGCTCTCGAGGGGCTTTCTCTGCAGCTCAACGGAAGCTCTGCCACGCTCTTTATTATGGCTGTTCCGAATTCAATCGTTGATGATCGCTCACGAATGTGAGCTGCACTTTGCCAAGACTTTGGAAGCGAGCGGTGCGGTCTCCGTTGCCGCAACACAATGGCCATTTTGAAGCCAGCTGAGCTCTTCAAGATTCGTTTTCTGTCGTGCGTAAAGCGAAAAGAAGCCTCTGCCGCACGATCTACGTTTTCCGGTTGCCTATCGATGCTCTTCACCTCTTTGCACTCTCCGACTGCACCAACCATGTTCCGACTTGGTGCCTCTCCTCTGTGCGAAGCTGTGGCTGGGTGGGTGCTTTAGGCATTTGGCTTGTACTGTCGTCTTGGACAGTAACACTTGTGATTCAACTTGTGATGCGTGCTACAAGAGGCACGAGATTACTCCTTGACTTCCGTGATTAAGATTTGACAAGTTAGGCTCTGCCAGGGATTCATAACGCTGTTTTGTTCCGGACTGTCGGAAAGTATCTGCTGCTGCATCTGGATCTCGCTAAGCCACCAGATTCGCAAACGTTTGCAGCGGACGCGATCCACAATTTAGGCAACACAAGATCCAGACAAGAAAGACACTACAACGAAGCTCCTAATGTCGTAGGGGCCGGCCTTAGCCATGAGCAGAGCGCCTTCCTTTCATGCAAAGTCGTGGCGGGATTGCTGCTTGGAGCAGCCAGCCAGGTGCTGCAGCTTCGATGCAATCTATGTTCAGCATGCCGCTGTTCTGTTCAGCTCTCGCACTCGCTTTCTCGTCAAAGCTCAAGTGCAGTCTCACGACACGTCCCTGCCCTTCATTAGTCTTCATCAACAGTCACGGCAGCAATTTGAGGCGCTGCATCCGTAGTTTGCAGATACTGGCTGAAACCCTGTTGTCTTCTCACTTGCTGTCCTCCCGAATTAGCTTGCTCTGCGTGTCGCCGCATGGGTTTATCAACGTTTGGAGTGAGTCGAAAGCCACTTGCAAGGAGAGGATCCGAACAAGTCTTGCGGTTGTAGTTTCAGGACGAGGCGACTGATTTTGCTTCAGGGTCCCTGTGCGATCCCAGTAAGTAGTATGTGGAACCCTTTGTCTCAGCCGTCCGTGCACTGAGGAAACTTCGTCAACTTCATGTCTTCCGATCCGGTTATACTGGATGTCCTCGCGTCCATTTGCAAAGATGCGTTGCAGATGTTCGAGCGCATCGTCATTGTTTTCGATGACAAGGCTCAAGAAATTTAAGCAAGCCTGGGCTGGATTTAATACACACCAGAAGAAACATTGACATCACCGTAGACTTGCATGCTGCATGGCTTTCCCCTCGCAGGAAGAGCGCCGGGCAAATATCTGCATATCGAAGCATTTCATCTATTTTGTGAACCGGGACCTCTAGCTGCACTTGTGGCGTCTGTTCCGTAATTTGTGCACATGTGAGAATGTGGAATGTGACATCACTTCACTATCTGAGGAGATGAGCAAGCTGATAGAAGGTCGAGCTTCGGCCGCAACCAGAGTGCGGGGGTACCCGTAGACATCTCATTTTTGCTTGCACTGCCTCATTTGGCCGAGAGACGACTTGTGCGGAGTCTGAAGTGAACGGAGTACTGTCCTTTGTGCACGGATTGCCAGTTGGGATGTGGGCTCTCTGAGGGGAAAGAATATCCTACTTGGACATCACCCGCGCAGTTGTCGACAGCTCCACCAATCGCTACTTCTTGTTAGAGCTGCGTCCGGGAGCTAGCTGGAGTGGCACGAGGCCTCTCGACTCGTCATCTCATTATCTCAAGTTCTTGAATGCTAATTCTCCCTGCAGTACAGGATCCTGGTGCAAAGCACCCACCGCGACTGGGATGCAATGCACTTTTGTGGGTAGCGTCCAGAGATGTGGTTTTCGGCTTTGATGTTGCGCCATCTCGTTGGCCGGCTCACAATTCGCGTCGGATCGGGTCTCTGCTCAAACTGGCACAGCTTCACCGTGCCTTAACTTCAAGACCACAGTTCTCAGCATCCTGTGATCCTGCCTCTAAGCAGCGTCGTATGAGCATCTACGTGCACACTGACATCGGTACGTTGGAGCTTCTCTGAGTGAAGGCAATGACTCAGCCTCCATCTGCAACTACATGTACCACCGTCGTTGCAGCTTCTTGAGTTTCTCGACATTTGCTGACACAGCACTATGTCGGTATCCTCATGCATGGCGGGTACTGGCATGGGAAATCGCCAGCTGCGAGTCTTCACTGCTTTCCTCTTCCTCAGCATACCACCGACTTGGTCTTCACAGTTGCTGAGGTGAGCTTCTTCTCCAGAAGATTGCTCTTTGCTGGCAGGTCGTCCCACCAAAGCTGCATGTTCATGTTGTGGTTGGTGTAACGAACTGACCAACGATGAGCGCATGTCTTCTTCCTGGCAGGCAGAAGTGATGTACCGCTTGTTCGACGTCAGGAAGTTTGAGATGGTGAAAGCTGCCCTGGGCGAACAACTGGCAGCTGTGAAGAACATGTTCCTTGGCTTCAGTGCGGGGAGGGCATCTTTGCATGCGTCGCTGCTGGCACTGCAGGATGGCAAAGCAAAATGACTTGATCAAGGCCTGTCCAGCAAGTTTTGTGCAATCGTCACTGTTGCGCGAAATCCGCTCATTTCCTTGAGCGTGCTGGCTGCAGATTGAACCCTTCCGGGGCTACGAAGACAGCTTCAGCTACCGTGGCTATAGTTTTTGGCTGCGGAAGGCAAGGTGTGTTCAGTGAAGCCGTGAAGCTGCAGAGCTGTGCAAAGGTATGGGTACATCAGTCAGGGGTGTATCCGGGCTTCGCCTCATTCACCAGTCCCGAGTCCTTGGGCTTTCTTGCGGGGCAAAGGTATGGAGCAATTGGGAGGGGGGGTTGGTGCTATGGGGTTGTTTGAACACTTCAGCGTGCATTTCGCAGGGCTTTGCGAGCGTGTCTGGCCTCAAAGACGGAGTTTTTCAGAACGACCAGGCGGGCCGGAAGCCTTCTCTGCCCATCCCGTCCCCTGCTGCAGAGAGCACAAATCTCGAAGTATCTCGAAGTTCTCGTGTTGGCATGCCAGTCTCAAGGCTCAAAGGATCTCTGTGTAGCGTCTGTTGCGCAACTGGGCCCTGTGATTGGCCGTTCGATCTCTCCCATGCTTGCACCGGATACGATGAAACTTGCTGAGAGCCATGGAGTGCGGAATCCGCAGGTGCCGGGTGGAGTCTTCCTCTCCGGTACGTTGCCCAAAGAAGCGGTGACTGAGATAAGTACCTTGTGCAAATCCTGGCTCTTCCTGAACCCAGAGACAGATGTCAACTTACACAGAGAGGCGATCGAAGCTGGTGGTGCCAAGCTGCAAGCGATCCTATGCTAGACTCAGCACTGAGTAATTTGATCTGCTCGGCATCTTTGTGAGTTGGTCATGAGCTATATGAGCATCTTCGTAACTACTTGTAACGGATCCGGCTCAGGATCGCTTTCCTGCCTACACACTTCGATTTACCAGGACGAGTGGACGAGGTCATTGATGCAGTGAAGACTCTGCCTAGGCCTTTGCTCATTCAGTGCAACAGCGCCGTTCGAGCTAGCCTTGCGGTCCTGCTGTGGCTCGCCCGTGAACGCGGCTACACGGGTGCCTGCGCGGAGCTACTTGCGCAAGATCTTCAGCTGGACATTCTGAAGAAGCCAGAGATTGTTGAGTGGATGAAAACGTACCTGCCCCAGCTCAACCCAGGCGATGGGAAAGTGGATCCTCTGGCCGCTCTGGCCATCAGCCCGGAGGTCCGGCAGCTTTTTGATCCACAGAGCAGCACCTTCACATACCTCGTCGTCTGTCCGGACACAAACGAAGGTGTTCTGGTTGATCCAGTCATGGGCCAGAAGGCTCGTGACATGGCCATCATCCAAGAGCTAGGGGTGAGACTCAAGTACGTCATCAACACGCATTGCCATGCGGACCACATCACCTCAGCAGGGGTGATTCAGAAGGAATGCCCGGATGTTCGCACCGTGATCTCCGACGCCTCAGGAGCCAAAGCCGACATCCGCTTGAAGCATGGAGACAGGGTGATCTTTGGCAACTTGAACCTCGATGCGCGAGCCACACCAGGTCACACCGATGGCTGCATGTCATTCGTTCTGGAAGGCCGTGGGATTCTGGTCTCCAGAATTTCGGTTGCGGGTGGTTGAGGCTCAGTTGAGGTCGCTAGGTTGTTGGACTGTTGGGTCTTGGGGTTCTCTTCGATGTCTTCGATGCTCCTGCGTCCGGGTGGACCGAAAAGGCAGGGGGAGCAACAAGCGAAGACAAGTGAAGCGTACAACATGCCAAGCAGCTTGCACCTCGCACAGCCCTGCTGGCCTTGTATGTAGGTTCGATGCTCTTATATGTAGATATGTGTAGAAGGGCAAGCTGCACCTTTGCACCTAAGCCTTCGTCCTCAGTGTCGTCGTGAGACGTGAGGCCGAACTTCCAGGCTCGTTTTCACCGGGGATGCGCTGCTTATCCGTGGCTGTGGCAGAACGGACTTTCAGCAGGGCTGTGCTGGTCGCCTGTATGACAGCGTCCAGACTCAGATCTTCTCTCTCCCGAGTGAGACCATCGTTTGCCCAGCGCACGACTACAAAGGCCGCAGTGTGTCTACAGTTCAGGAAGAGCGGCTGTTCAATAGTCGCTTGACCAAGACGAGAGATCAGTTCCAAGACGTCATGCAGAACTTGGATTTGCCATACCCTGCCGAAATGGATGTCGCGGTTCCTGCGAACATGTTCTGTGGCATCCAGGACTAGTGGCACATCTGTGAGGAGCAGGGATAAAGATCCGCCGCTTTCCTTCAGGAGCTTAGTGGCACGTGTCCACTGAAGTACCCAGATCAGGAACGGCGTTAGTAATTCGCTTGTCTGCTGCGCGCGGCGCAGCTCCGAACTCAGCAAGAGCATCCGAAGCAGAAGATGTGCTTCACATGTATGAGTGCTTCTGCCACACACTAGTCATCGGACAATATCTTAGTCGCTTTGCATTGAGATGCTCTAGCTGCCTGCTCAGCGGCAGACAGCGTGAAGTCGCTTTCAAACGCGAGTGAATGCGCGCTGTTTGATTTTCCATGCCCTCCTGTGTATCCACGAGCAGGGCAGCACCGACGAGCGTGACGGCTCAACAGAGAACAGGAGAAAGGTGTCATATGGCTTTAATTGTATACCTTGTCATTGCATCTTGGAGGAGTGGCCGGAGAAATCCTGCAGACCGGCTGCAGATCTTTGCACAAAGCCTGCGCAGGGCTGGGAGGTGACCTACAAGGCACAACCAGTCTCCGTGCCTCCTGGTGTCCGTCCCAAGCTCAATGCGGGGGCACCGCAACTTCGACAGTACGTAGACTCACTCAGAGCGAGGAGTCATGGTTCAAGTCGACAATGAACAGTTGATCATGGACCTCGAGAAGTCCCGTGATGGCCAGCCTTGCTGAGAGCTTCTGCGTCACGTGGTAACATGCTGTGCTTGCTTCTTGCAAATCGAGTAATGGCGAATGCCAGAATGACGGAAGCAGCAGCAGAAGGCGGAGGAGGAGGAGGAGGAGGAGGAGGAGGAGGAGGAGGAGGAGGAGGAGGAGGAGGAGTAGGATCAGCTGATGATGATGATGATGGTGATGATGAGGACATCGACGACAATGGTTGCAATGGTCATTGCCACGAGGATGATGGTGATGGCGATGTGGCTTATGGCGATGAAATGACAATCACGGCGAGATAGCTGGTGGTGATGATGGCCACCGACCACAAAACAGAAACGTATAAGTAAGCAAGTGTTTCCAGCCTCATACATGTAGTCGCGGTGAGCATTGCCAGCGTAATGGTGGCTAGCGGCCTCCCAAGCGTGGTAAAGGGTCGCGGGAGCTGTTGCAGGCATGGAGGACCTTCGTACCGTGGCCATGGAATATCAGCGAAGTCTTACCGAAAACTTGGATCAGTTTTATGTTGCGGAGACCTCAGAGATCTCAATCCGTAATCTAAACGGCTATCGTGTTTTCATGATTGCAGGTCGTGTCAGGGCAGTACCTCAAGAAGATGAACCGAACGGATGATATCGCCTCCTGGGATGGCTGGGAGTTTTTCGTTCGCTCCAAGGACTCTCGCTGGTTGCGTGCAGTGCAGAGCATCGCATCGCTTGCAAGGAGTATTGCTTTGCCTGCGTTCTTTTCAGAAGACAGTCCCGGTTCTCAGACTGCTGCTGGGAGCAGTTGCCTTGGCGGCGCGCAACGGTGGTCCAGGTACATTCCACCGCTTTTCAGCACATGCCAGGACGGTTTTGCCTGTACTTGTAGCACAGATACGTTAAAGGGGGTATAAGCACAGGCTGCACAGGTATCCCTGTGGAATGTATCTAGCCAAAGAAGGGTTGGGCTTCCGGTGTGTTCGCATAGAATGGCATAGAATGCGTACAGCTGCCGCAGACACGGGCACAAGCAGTTGCTGCGAAGTGCCCGATGCACGATTGTATTCACAGACGTGCACTTGTGACGGGCCTGCTTGTTAAGATTCTTGACACCCCAAATATTACCAGAGAAAGTCTCCGCATGCCATGACCCTGCCATGTGGGCTTGGGGCAGCATCCTGCTGCCTGCAGCAGCAGAGTGGCCTGCCAGGTGGATCGCATGCATTTCCGTGACTAAGTGCCAGTTGTGCTGCACAAGCCTGCCGACGGCTCATGTTGAATCTGAGAGAGACACTCGAGTTTGACAGTCAGCAGGTGCCGGGTCTTCAACCCCGATTTCTTTGAGCGACTTGCCTGTCGAATGTTGTTTTGTGCCACAGCTTGTTGCCACAGACCGTCTGCCAAGGCAGGCAGAGAGAGACTTCCTGCCATTCCATGAGCTCACGCCCTGGGATGCACAGCGCGCAAAAAACCTCTGCCGCTCGAGTGGGCAGGTCCGGCCTTGGCCTAGTCTTTGTGCTGCAAAGTCTTCGACCACGCAGCACATTTCCAGCTGGCATGTCGCGATCTCGTCCTTGCAGGCATGCTTTGTTGTGCAGATCCGAAACGGGCAGGCCGCATTTGCACAGCCATGGATCGCACATTCGTTCCGGGGGCCCGGGGTTGCAGGGCTAAGCGAGGTAGTTCTTGGACCCGGAGGTGTTTGTCTTGGAGGAGCAGCCAGGCTTCCAGAGCCGAAACCGCCTCACGATGGCAACTTGCACACCAACTCATGATCGGCTTTCTGCAGTCTGCCTCGAGTTGTGCTAGTCTGCTAGGAGGCAGCACACAGCTTCAGTTCTTGATCATGTCGAGGCGATGCTCCATCGAGTTTCAACCAAGTTCGGGCCTCTTCCAGATGCTGAATTTGCCACAGCCTCAAGGGGCTGGGGAACGTGCGCCCGGGGGTGGGCGCTTTCCGTGTGCTGAGGTCGTTGACACCTCCGATGGCTACGCGGAGATCGAGGCGCCCATCTTCGTCATCTCCAAGTTTCCAGGCTCTGCAGGCCCAGTCGGAGGGAGAGAAAAGCGAGAGATGAGCTATGTGAGCGATGTGTGAGCTATGCTATGTGTGGGGGGCCCGCCCGGAAGTGATGAAGCCTTTGTGGATCTCTGTGGAGGTGGCATCCTCTATCCGGACTTCTCCTCCTATGCGTGGCCCGAGTCGGAGTGTCCTTCGGAGGCTCCTGGCTCCCACCTCTGGTCCCAAGTCCTGGCCAAGATGGCAGAGGCCGAAGCCCAAAAGAGTGGTGGTTGCTGTCTCGCCTTCTCATCATTCTTGCTTTCGCTTTGGCAGAGGTGCCATCTTGGTTGGCGAAGACCGATTCCTTGTTCTGGCGGGGTGCGGCCACCTCGACTTACAGGATCCTACCCCGTAGTTTTCCCCTAGGCCTTGCAGTCGGAATGGTGACAGGGTCTCACCAGGAGGCAGATCGTGCCGTTCCTGGCCTCGTTAGAGAAGTCCAATGTGTCCATGATGGAGTGGGTCATTGGTCCAGAAGGACAGCGCCAGGCTGGGCTTGCGACTTGCACCTGCTTGGTCTTCTTGGAAGGGTCTTGTGCGGATTCTCGCGGCAGGTAGTCAGCAGTGGCAGTGACAGCTGCATACCCATCCACGAATGGTGTCAGCACAAGCCATTCAGAAAAATTGGGCCGACGCAGTCTTCTGCCTAGCGTTGACAAAATGTGCTTACCAGGTTCTTGGCAAATCTACCTGGGAACACCATGGCTCTGGCTTTGAAGTACCGACTGTTTTGTGGTTCGGTGGTGCTGTCCAGCCCGTTCCTGTACCACGAGTGGTACTACTCCCAGCTCAAGGAGACTTGCGGTCGGAAGGTTTTTCCTCGTATTGTACACAGTCTTTCCTTCGATTACGTATGTTTTGCGGCATGGAGATTTGGACCGCGCTTCCTGAGCGTCAGGAGGGCGAGCACTTTATTTCGTTTGATCTCCGTTGGTCGGGAGCAGACGAAGTCTTGACGGATTTGCGGGGACCTTCGAGGGCCCTGGCAGAGGCGGACAGGACATACTTGTACTGCGGGAGAGAACGTTTAAGTGACCGTGATGCCTCTAGAGCATGAGGCAGTGCTGCACACGATTTGACCAGGCAGTCTCAATGAACTCCAGACGGTGGGCGCAAGATCACCTCACCGACGATGGGTAGTTCGGCTCCAAACCTCTCCTGCCATTGTCAATGCAATGTGTCGCCGAGACAAGGTTTGACTGCTATTGGCTGCGTCTCATCCACCTTGCTAGCCAGCAATTTCCGCCTCCACAGCCGACCTTACATGCGATTCCACTGGAAAGTGTGATGCTCGGAATGCGTCCGGCACTTGGATCTAGATCTTGAATGACCTCACCACTCACGAACCCTGAAGGGATTGACAACATGGGGGCACCGTGCAGTATGTTGTGTTGGGCTCAGGCCCTGTGCAGTCCTCCATCGTGGATGTCCTGATCGTGATTCCATCCCGAGCTGCAGATTACCAATTAATGGATCATGCCAGGCGATCCGAACATGTGCAGGGTGTGATGAAATGATGTCATGCGATGCTCTCCGCGCCGGCCAGGAGCACGTGGCTTCGCAGCGGACACAGCGACGAGTCTCAGCTCGAGAATTCGGATGTTCAGGAAGAGTCACAGCGTGCACAGCCAAGGGTGTAAGCCATCGTCATTTCTTCGTCATCGCCAGTGCCGATCCTGACCTTGAGCTGCTGCAAATCGGAGCCGTGTCACCAGATGGTGTCTTCATTGCAAGATTGTTTGCTGCACCAGGGCTTTCGTGTCGCTAGACTTGGACTTTGTCCAACGATAGGTGAAGATGATGTGCTCGTGGTCGAGTGCAAGCATGGTTACAGGCAGCTGCTGCAGAAAATGGTTGTGGCATATCGGACTTTGCTAGTGACTTGGAAGTAAGCCACATGCTTGACTACATGTGTGAGCCTTAGTACTGTACCCAGCCGCCGGCGCCGTCCCAGGAGCGATTCACGGTAAAATTCTTCATACGTGCTGATGTCGATTCTATGCTGCCGTTGCAATTTCTCCTTCCACTGCTTGACCATGCTGCGGCTGGACGATGCCTTGTTCTTCTGCAGCTGGACAGACAAGCTTTGGCCTTATGCATACGAGCGTACATGCATACGTACATACATACATACATGCATACATAGAGACATAAAGGAGTAGTGACACGCAGACACCATGCAGACAGACAGACAGACAGGCAGACAGACAGACAGACAGACAGACAGAGACAGACAGACAGACAGACAGACATGCAGGCATACAGACGGTTCGACATACAGACATACAAGCCTGCCTTCCTTATGCTCACGCATGCATACTTACATAGATGCATGCGTATGCATACATACGTAAACACACGCACTTGTACCCATACCTACATAGCTTACACACATACATTGCAGACATGCATGCGCGCATACACACGTACATGGGAAGGCATGCATGCATAGGTCCGTACATACATTACGTGCGTGTGTACACATGCACATGCACCCGTACATACGTACATACATACATACACAGCTACATACACGCATACATATACACACAGACACATATACATGCGTTCATACACAAGACATATGTGAATATACCTACGTACATAGATGCATACGCACTTTCGTAGGCACATCCATTTTTCCATCATTCCATCCCTCCATTCACGTATCCATCCACCCAGCCATGTATCCATCCATCCATCCATCCGTCCATCCATCCATGAGCCATCCATCCGTCCGTCATTCCGTCCATCCATCCACACATGCATCCATGTATACCTGCATGCATGTGCGTGTATATACGTACATACGTACATTCACATCAGAATAGTTTTCCATCGCTTCATCCATGTATCCATGTATCTATCAGTCCATCCTTGCATGTGTGCGTACACACATACACACATACTTACGCACATACATACGCATACATCATACATACATGCATACATACATACATACACGCTTACATACAGACGTACATACATGCATACATACAGGCGTGCATACATACTTACATACTTATGTACATATATGTACATCCTTCCAACCATCCATCCATCCCTCCCTCCATCCACCCATTCATCCCTCTATCCATCTCTCGTTCCTTGCGTGCCGCAGCCGAGGTCGGAAGGCAGCAATTGTGGACACAGCAGGCCAAGATGGCAGATGCCAGCAATCGGTCACTTGCCACCCTGTTGCAGACGGCCTTTCTGAATTGGAGAAAGTGGATGCGCTCTTGTAAGATCCAAACTGATCGCTCAGCGCCTGGCATTACTTGGCTTGCACAAGCCACGAGGCAATGCCAAGTCGAGTGCGCAATGGACCGCGGCTGTCACTATTTCCACGTTAGCCCGGACGGGGACTGTGCCACATTCAGTCAGTGCACACTGGAGATTGCAAGTGGAAAGGTCTTTCAGTACAAGATGCGTTCCTGTGCCACAAACAGCAAAGCTTGTTGGAGCAATAGTATTTGTATCTTCGCCGGATTTGGTTGGACATGAGCATGTCATACAGTTCCGATCACCAAGGCAGTCTTCTTGGCGATCTTGTGCAGAGACCTCTGGAGAGTCCACGTGTCCCAGCACAAAACTATCCATGGCAAGCTGGCGGGACACACGCAGCAGCTAGAAATGACACTCTGCTTCATTCTTTCAGGTCGGCCCTTTGTCTTGGGAACGATTCTACATGGCAACAAGGCGTGACAAGCACTTCTACCATGGGGCTTATCTAACAGCATGTGCAGACACGATTTCACATGGTCTGTCACTGCACAGAGCTAACTGTGCGGGGGCACTCCCCGAACAATTTGAAGAAGCCGGTGCACTGTTGCTCACAGATGCACATCTTGC